AAATAACATTTAACACTTTTTGAAGATATAATGTTAATTAAACTTTGCTCGTCGTACCCACATGATTTACATAACATAGGATCTCCTATGTTTCATCTCTTTTCGAACAACTTATAATGTTAACTTAGAATTGGCTTGAATAGATCAGTTCGTCAGTTCTAACTTTCATATATTCATCCAATCATACATTTGCGAGCGATGCCGGTTTGTTATTATCCAGGATGTTAACTATACCTATTACTGTTAAATACAACTCTCGAACTACTAGAGAATCTATAATACTAACAGACGACAAGGACTCAGTACAGTTCAAGTTCAACTCTAGACCACGTACCCTGTGTTAGACAGTTAAATACAATCCATAAATTGACGTAAAGTATGCCAATGCGAGAGGCCACTTGCATCGATTTGTTGCGGTGGTTTGCGTCTGTAGTCTATACAAACACATAAACATGAATAATGTCTACCCTGTCTGCAACTTTATATACCAATGCTCGTTTAATGTTTAATTTTACAAAACATGTCACGATTAGGCGCGTGCATGTTGTACGGATTATTTACAAGCTGCCAAAATTGCAGTTGTATTAAATACACTTTGGTTTTTGTTTAAGTAATTTTTTTTTATTTCTTGGCTACAAATCAATCATAGAATTTGTTAAAACATTTAAAATTATTTTTTGAAATTTCACTTTTTGCGTGTTTGGAAAAATTATGTGTGTAATTTTTACAATGCGCACGCACACCGACACCGACATGGTAAAGTTGGATGCAAAGCGAATGACTTTGACCAACTTCACGGTATGAAAACCAATAACAATTTTTTGATATTTACAAATAATTCCAATTAATTAAACCGTTATCAATTGCATTTAATGTCTTTTTCACAAAAAAAGGAGTCGAGATGGCACATGCGATAAAATGTTTAGTTATTCTTCATTTGTTATGTTGTAACAAGTAGGTATACTTAATTTCTGACGTGCGTACATAAGTATACACACGTTTTTTAAGAAGTTTTTTTCATTTTAAGGTACTGTATCTGATAAACTCAGTAAGAAAATTATATGTTTCTTTAATATTTTACTAGAGGTCGTCTCTCTTAAGATGACATATTTCTTGGATATTGTTTAAAAAGGTAACAAGAAACGGCGTTTGGATAATGTTACGAGTAGGTTAATCTTAACCACTAACATACTATTAATGCAAGAGTGGCACTATTTTACAAATGCTAAAAACCAATTTAGATAAAAAACGGTAAGATTTTCGTCAGTATGGCCATCAGCCGTTTAGCTTAGTGGTTAAAGCGTCAGGCCGCGAATGCCGAAGACGTGGGTTCGATTCCCACAGCGGCGACAATATTTTCGTACGTTTTCTACATATTTTAAAGAGGCACTATTGTTTGAAAAACTTAGTAGTTACTCGATCTCGAATAGAATATTTAGAAGATTGAATTTGATTCGAAGAATTTGGTGTGGGTAAAATGTCTTTTCGCATGTATGTACTTATAATATAATTTCTTTGGCTATACCATTTGTATCTGGCTGGTTTTGGTATCATTAAAAAGTTTAAAAAAGATAATTCCAAATTCAAATTAGGAAAATGTGTGATTTCCATTTGTTTTTTTTTACTGTTAAGACGAGTGATTCTAATGAAGAAATTCGATACAATTTAAAACTGCAATGTAAAAATGCAACGCAAGCCGCGAAAAAAATTTGTGATATTTATGACCTAGTGTAGTGTCTGTGTCGATGTAGTAGAAGAACTGGGAATTGACCACAAAATAGTTTTGGCACATTTGAAAAAAGCTGGGTGTTCAAAAAAGTTCGATATTTGGGTGCCTCGTGAGCTCACTGAAAGAGACCTAATGAACGACGTAGTAAAACCTAACCATTTTTGATAAAACTTTATAACTGGTGATGAAACGTGGATCACATACGACAAGAACATGCGAAAAAGATCTTTATTTTATATGTGAAAGTTGCCAAACGAGCAGACGGTTCTCCTGATGGTAAGTGAATACCGCCGCCCATGGACATCTGCCGAGGGTTACAGATGCGTTGACAACCTTTTAAAAATTGGACTCCGGCTACCCCACTCACCAGACGAAACGCGAAAGCATTTGTCATACTTCCACTTTACGCTGGTCTTCTGTGAGTTCGTGGTAGTTAGTTAGTTCGTTCCCATTCGTGCATCAGCTAAAGCTGCTGCGTGGCCCTACCAAAGGCTGGTCAGGCTTCACAGACTCTGGCGAAACCCGGGTTACCTCGGAACAAGGTAATGCTGTGTGTATGGTGGTATTGAAGGCATTATTCATTCTGATCAATCAGAATCAATATTCTGAACTTTACTGCGAACAACTGATGAGATTAAAGCAAGAAGTTGAGAGAAAGCTGCCGAAATTATCAACAGAAGGGGTGTGGTTTTTCATCACGATAACGCTAGACCTCACACATCTTTAGCCACTCAGCAAAAATTAAGAGAAATTGGCTGGGAGGTGTTAATGCATCCGCCGTATAGTCCTGACCTTGCACCTTCAAATTTCCACTTGTTTCGGTCTCTTCAGAATTCTTTAGGCAGTGTCAGGTTAACATCACGAGAGGACTGCCAAAATCACTTGTCGCGGTTTTTTGATCAGAAGCCCCAGAATTTCTGTAGCAACGGGATCATGTCCCTACTATCATGATCATGTATCTCAGATGGCAGAGGCATGAAGTGAAGGAAGATGGCAGAAAGTTATCGAACAAAATGGCGTCTACATACTTTAGTTAAATGTAAATAAACTTTATAAAAAATGTTTTGAATTTTCATATAAAATACGAAGAAACTTTTTACCCAACCTATTATATTTAGGCAAAGTTAAAATGAAAGGAAGTATTTAAAAAACAAAAAGAATCTTACGGAAATTTGGTGGCACACTAAGGTAATATTTTCATAACATCGGTCTCAAATATATCTTATAGGAAGATTAAGTTAATATTTTATAATACTCTGTTATATTTTGTTGTTAAACACGTGTGACCTTTATATTATTATTATTGTATCATGTGTGAATCTGAGTACATTTGATGAAACAAAGGCTTCGTCTTCTACGACTTATTACTGACTGTATTGAATATTTTTGCATAAGTGGAACTATTGTCGAAACTAATTAAAAGCCTGTTTAACTATTAATACGCATTAAATGAAGAACAGATGTCATTGAAAGTAAGTTGACTTTAGTATACAAAATAAAATGAAGTGCTCATCGTGAATTAATTAAGAACAGTTTACCTTATAAAAATTTTACTTAGTGAATCAAAGCATAATGTTATAGTGTGCTATAATTAGTTTTTTTTTTAAATATGTAAGAACAAACACCTTGAAACGGACTTTCTGTATGTTTTGAGTTTTTTGTCATATGCGGAAGCCGAATTCACGATTTGCCACTGTGTGTGATTTCAATATATAATTTTTTTTAGTTGAAGAGTTTAATGGAAAATGTTTAGCGAATATATATTAATAAATTTGTTTAAGTATTAGAACTTTATCACAGTATTAGTTTGTTTCCCTAATTTAAAATAACTTAGCAAGTACACGTTTGGACATCGATTATTGATATCATAGAGCCCATATAATGCAGCAGTATTTGAAAAACTGTGGTGGTCAGTTCTTAATTATGGTAGTTATTAAGTTTTTTGTAAAAACTCTACACGCGATTTCTAATGTTTAAAACTAACAATATATAAATTTTAAGGTATATCAAAGATCGGCGGAGACATTATTGTTTTTTACCTGAAATCTGGTTTCGAACTAAATAATGCGCGTGGGCGTCTACGTAGTGTATAGTTTTATCTCTATTTTCAACGAATTTGTCATGGTATGATAGTTTTAATGTACTAATGCAATTACGTGGAACGAATCGCGATAAGGAAAACAAATAATATGTATGTAGGTGGCGACATTCGGGCTCTCCGTCTGCGGTGAGTTATTTTTGGCGAAAACCTAATGAAATTCAGCGGGAGTTTGATTCGGTAACAGTATTGGGAGACGCAGCAGCTAAATAATTCCAATCACTTTACTCCGTCCCAGCCGGCTCTCGTAAAGTTCTTTGATTATCTGCTGGGAGAGTTGGATCGTGACATGGTAGCGAAATGGCTAAATTGCACATTCATATACATCTCACATTGAATACGCATCTCTTACAGCAAAACGTCCTCGCTTCGCGCTCACAAAACAAATTTTCACGAGTTCGTCCCATCTTCGTATTGAGATACTCTTGAGATTTTTTTTTGTAAGGGTAAGAAGTATATTGAGTTAAATTGTAAAGCAACGAATAAAAAATATATTTATTTTTTATTCCAACATTAATTATAATGTAGATACGTCTTTTATGATCCTTGCTTGAACTGTTTTAAAATAAGTATGCCAAGCCGAAATCAACTCTTATAATTGTCAAGAGTAGACGCGATTTTCATAAGAATCGTTTTGAAAAGACTCATGAAAGCATTCAGGTAGGGGACCCTTTGGATACTCTTTGAGAGTTATTTTAATGTTGGGGTTCAAGTGTGCCTAATCGGCCATCGAAAGTCGAAACCTTTGCAACCGCTTTAAATAGGCCTTGTGTTCGCTCATAGAATAAATATTTTGTGTATATATATATGATATATACACAAAATATTGAATGTAAAAATTGTATGTGAAGATATTGTATTTGGGGAAATAACATGCAAATTTGTTATTCTAAACATACTTAGCATAGTCACCGTCATTGCAATTAGACAATCCCACGACCGTATTTTACAATTATTTACAACTGTGGACCAGACAAAGTCATACGCAATCTTCATAGATAACTACTAGTTCCAGAGATTCATTTAAAATTTAAATTGTAACTGTTTCCCCGGCCGCACAATCGAACGGCATGATCATGCACAGCGCGTTGTAGGAGGGCGAAGGGGGGATACCCTCGGTCTATCATCGATAGCGATCATAGGGGGCACGGTTAGTGTTTGACGTCAATGTCAGCGGTCAGCGGTTGTTTCCGAACGGAGAGCGGTGATTAAGTGCGTACTTCCCCAATGGGAGCGTGGTGAGATGTCCGAGCGGTGAGTCACGGGCGGCGGCGGGCGCGGGCTCTCGCCCTGCGCCGGCGCAGCCATCGCGCCAACATTCCACGCGAACGTTGCCTCCCCGCACTCGCGATCCCTCTGATGCAATATTCAACTTTACATCGTCCTTGCAATGCCGTAATTCGTTATAACAAGTATAATCGCCGCCGTGGCGTCTTTATCTTTTTCTCGGCGCAAGCTCTCTATCACGTTTCGCATTCAAGGCCATTTCGGCGTCCTTAATTGCGATGGGCCTGGAACGACGACGGATGACGCGTCCGAGTCTTGCGCCATTACAATTGATTTTTTCCAATATTGTTATGTATTGGGCCCAGAAGAGGAGAACGTATATTTAGTGGAGCATGTTGGCGTTATACAAATAAAGAGGCGAGTGTCTGTCATGTTGAGTGGCAAATTGGCCTCCTCGACGCATTTGTTCCACGCCGTCAGTGGTCGGTCATCGGTCGCTGGTCGCGCCACATTCAACCTTGTGGCTGCCTACTTTATCATCGTCTATGCCGATGCCGTGAATTTCTCTATAATAAGCCACACAGAACAGACCTTTTTTGTAAATCGAATTACATCGCTCACTTGTTATAAATAGTTACGACCAAGTTTTTGTTTCCACAGTGACAAACGGGTACTAGTCAGAGTGCCTTTTTTCTTTTATGTCCACTACGGAATGACAAATAACGGTTCTGCAAGTATTTATCCTGTCTAAGAATAATCGACTTACATGTTCAGTATAAAATCCAATATTTGCTATTGTTGGCTACTTTAAGATCTTTATTCCACAGTGCATGGTCATGTCAGTTCCCAATTTCGTCGTCCACAAAAAAAAATCTAAATGATTGTACATATGTTGCATAGTAAGTGGTCACAGTCGGCTCGATAAACGATAACCCCGATGTGACCGTACCTAGCTCGATAGTTCCGTTTAGAATTGCCGTTACCTCACATCATCCTTTTCATTTTGCTTAGACGCCAACTGCGCAACGGATGGATGGTTTATTCCATCGCATTCGAGTCGTTGTTTCGCCCTGCATTTTAAGGCCAGCTCTTGGATGGAGTCGGATTGAGTGCGGCACATAGCATACGCCACAAGGACTCCTTTTTAGTGATTTTGCGAGGCAGGACGTGGGGGTCAGGGCGTGTCGGTGGCGGCGAGCGGCGCGGGGCGGGAGACCTCAGCGAGTGTCCGCGGGTGCCCGTCGCTCCAGGTCAGCGATCCAGCCGGCTATTTATAGAGATGGCCCTTAAACAGAGTAATTATTCATTGATTAGCACTGCGAGGAATAGGGGATTGCGTTTCTGATAGCCATCGCGCGGACAAGGATCGGCGTTGGCGCCGAGTTTCTTCGCGCCCCGCGCCAACCCGCTTTCCCTGGGGTTCTAGAAAAACGAACGCAATTTTTATACTTATTTACACTCAATGACTTGTGATTTGGGTGAATATAGTATTTTATCCACAATTTTTTTTAACGTTATGCACCTGATCATTGAGCAAGAGATTTTGAATCTTTTTTAATCTCGTAATTTACAACATCTTAACTTTATAATTTAAACCTTTATACAAGTGCCCGATTCAAATTTTATAATAGTTTTACGGTAAGCTTTATTTAATTGCCAATTTATCTACTCTTTTTGACCATAACTTTAAATTTATGACGGCAATATAATTTATAAATATGTAATGGAATTTAAGATGCATGAAGTAGAATGAAGTCAAACGCAAAATTAAATTTTTAGTGCAATATTAAGGAAGAAAACGTATTGTCATTTGTAGAATTCAAAAAATGCTATTATAACGGTATGTTAAAATTTAGACCTGAGCGCTAGACTATGACTCGTCTGAAACTCTATCTAGAGACGGTGAAATTTTGCGTAAGACGCTAGTGCTTGCTCAAAACTTTTCGTCATACACAACTAGCTGTTCCCGTGACGGTTAACGCAACTTTGATAAAAATAATATTGCAACATCATTATTAAATAAGGGCCTCGTAGTACCTACTTAAAATGCGGCGCTATTGAATGATATAGGAAAATAAATCGTGGTTCGGTTTCACACAGTCCGTTGTGGGGTTCAACGGTGCTCGCGCCGCGTACAAACACTCGTGCTTAGTATCGTAGAGGTCTCTAAAATAAATATTTCGCTTCTAATACAGAAACTGGTTGGTTACCGGCGGTTTGTTGCGAGCACGGACGCGAGCCGCTTTGTGAGCGGCCAACGGCACGACCGGCACATTCAGTCACCTACGAGCGGTCCCAACTTGTTACGGCCACAGATAGGCAGATAGGACAAGAAACACCTCGCCACTATCGCGGCACCACCCCCCGCGGCACGCATTAATGCTAAGCCATACCCACACTCGATATGCACCTTTTAATTATGTCCCCATTCATACAACGCACTCCACCACACTGAAGTATCAGTTAACATTATTACCACAGCTTCGTAATAATACTTTCCGAATGGCGTAGTGGGTGGGGTGCCTGCCTCCTGCTTCAGAGGGTGTGGGTTCGATCCCCAGTACTGGATAAATATTGCGTGATGAACATAGTGTTTTTAAAGTATAAAAGTATGTTTAAGTGTTTTTATCAGTTATCTAGTACCCATTGTACACGCGTTGCTTAGTTTGGGACTAGAGAACGTTGTGTAAAAATGTGTCCTAAAATATTTATATTAGTCAAAAATATGTTAATCAAGAAATTTTCGGATCAGTAATGCTATAGATTCTTGTATTAAACTTTGATCGGTAAAATCAAGCTGGAAGCAATAGAGGCAAATAAAAAGTTCATAGTAGAATGTTTATGGTCATTTAAAACTTCTTACTAAAATCATGAAATGAAAATCATCAGGAGACATCGAAAAAATATACACACCTGGTATAGTGCCTAATCTCTTAATTTGAAATAAGTTTATACCATCTGAATTGTGCTTGTATGTACATGCATCGATTTAATAAAGTGGTAGTAAATTTACACTTAACAAACTTTATGATCTTATTTAAACCGTAATGATGGATGAAGAGCCTGTTGTCTTACCGCGAAGGTCGGATATGATTAAATGAACATCCTGCTTAGCCAAGTACTCAGAAGAATACGTGGCCACACATCCTGCGATACTATGTTAATAGCTTCATTTAATTTATATTTAGTGAACGTCTGTGGTATGCACAACAGCGTCTGAGGTAGGCGCAACAGTGTGAGTGAGGTAGCCGGGGCCCGCTTTATTAAAAGATGGCAACGTATCTGCAAACCTACGGGTGTTGCAAATGTCCAGTAGCGGTTATCACTTAACATCAGGTGAACTGCGAGTTCGTTTACCACATTCTTATGTAAAAAAAAACTTCTATCAAGAAATAAATGTCTAATATGCTAGTTAACAATATGTCAATTTCAAATAAAAATGCAATTCAGTTTCATATTTTTATTTTATGCAAAATTCTAAAATACGTTATATAACTCACCAATCAAGTTTATTATGATTTAAATTTTGACTCCCTGACCACATATTTTCATAAGTATAATCAACCGTATATAGCCCAAATTAATTTCATATCAAACCTTTGTAATTCAATAGTGCTTCCGTCTGGTCGAGCCATATTGACAATATCCTTAACCACTCTGAACGCTGCACAGTAGATAGATGATAAAGTATCGAGATACGAAAGGTGAACGGTCTTTTCAAAGTAAAATAAATCGAAATAAGAACACTCATCCCGTTCTATCGAAGTATCGCCAAGCAATTCCCGGGCTTGACCGGTTTAATAAACGAAAAATTCACGGAAGGCAGAAAAGATTCCTTGAACGTACTGAATATCATTTTTTTTTATGCAGGCCTTAATGAAAGTTGGGTAATGAATTTAATTTGAGCCCATGATTTACTCTGCTTCGGTTCATTTTCTTTTTCTTTTGGTTGTTTGTTGTTATGTTTTCTTTGTTTCTGTTTTTAACCGCATTATACACTAATTCTTTTGTAATAACCACACTAACATTTTTAGTTTTAGATAACGTTGGATAGTATTTCTGGAAATTTTTAGATGAGGCATTCGTATTTTATTGGAACTATTGGAAGAATTTGAACAGTACGAAACTGTGATTTTATGATCGATCAGAGCTGGTATTGTTACTAATATAATGAATTATATAATGTAAAATGTTATATAAGGTATTAGGCAGCACTAATGGACAGGACTTGCAGAAAATTGGGTCTATGTATGAATGGACAAAATTCATACATAAACCCACCTTAGCAATACAGCAGGTAAAAAAGCCTGAAGGAAACCTGATCTCAAGGCTTTTTAGACCTTTTCAAATTAGTTGCTTTCGAACAGACTATGAAGATTTAAACAGAGCTGTATTTTTTGTTGCGTTCATAAATGTTGTAGTCGATATCGTGTCCGCATGTAAAGCAAGATAAATAAAATCCTACACAAGACTTTACAAAGTCATAAGTTTTAAACAAATGAAACAAATAGTTATGTCAAATTTAAACCCGTAAATCATTCGACAGTAAGTATTTTACAACCCGAAAATCAGAGAAGCGGTGTTTATAAAAAATCTATGGACGACGTCTCTAAATTCGAGCTCGAATTTGGGGCGCTTTTATAAAATGATAATAATAGATGGGCAATAGAGTTCGGCGGGCTATGTATGCCGAGCGGGGTGAGCGCGATCTGGGGTGGACAAAATCAATAGTCGGTACCTACGAATAGCTACCGCCACGACCGCTGGATCTGCACACGTTGCGAATCTTTATTTGGCGAAACATCCGCATTCGGCCCGTCTTGTCTCGCGAGTGCTGCCTCGCTTTGTAGCTTAATTTATATTTGACATTACTTTTATTCTCAATATATATTTAAGTACAACGTACAAGGCTAGTCACTGACATTACGAGATCAAAGCAACATTTACAACGTCCATGTATTTACCTTTTGCAATCGTCGAATTAAATTTAGTACTTTATGGGAGAATGGGAATTGAATGTATAAAGTTTTATTTAGATTTATCGTTAAAACGACTAGGGTTGAGTCTTGCTATTATCCACTGGGCTCTGATAAATAACTAGTTCGTCTATCTTTAATTGCCTATTGGGTGGATGGTCAGAACTAATTATTTTTATTAATCATGACACATCGATGGAGATAAATGCAGGGTACAATTCTAAAACCGTACGCAAATAAACATAGAATTGCAGACATAGATAAAATTTGTGCCCGATCATGAGCCACGTTCGAGCATGCTTAAACGGTAACTATCAATCATATTTCTGCTACAGTTAAGTCTTAAAAAAATTGTGTCACATTGCGGATGCCAAGAAAATACCCTAATAATAAATTAGCATAGTAATGTTAGCCGCCGTTATGTTGAGATTGAGACCGCTTTAATTAATATAAACAACCGGTAGTGTGTTCGATAGTGATAGGTACCGAATGGGTTCTGTAGCCGCAACAAAGTTTAATGTAGTTAACATCACAAAAGTCGTTGTAATCATCGCCATTATAATAAACGTTACAAACTCTTCACACCTGCACCCGTGATAGCTCATTGTCCGGGCGCTCACTTTTAATTTAATATACCCGAGAAACCTGAGTTCAAATCCCGGAGCCAGTATCAATGAAATTGTCAATTTATGTGCTGAACTATCACGTGTCTCTTAACTGTGGTAGGGCCACACAAAAATGTTCAATGTTGCACGAATAGGTAGGTCCATCCGGGTAAGTACCGCAACCTCACAAAGACTGGCGTAAAGTATAAGTGTTACATTTCTGCGTTTCGTCTGGTAAGAGAGGTAGCCAGAGCTCACTTTCTCTGAACTATTTTAAAAGTGGCAACCCATCTACAACCCTACGGCTGTTGAAAATGTCCACGTCCATTCTCAAAGAAAAAAAAAATTTGTGCTTAGCGGTGAAATAAACATCGTGAGTATATTTTATTATATTTTATTTATCGGATATTTACGAAATAATAAAACAAATGTTTCGAAGATATGTCAAGTCCGCCAACCCACATTGGGGTCACGTCGTGGACTATGCCCTAACACCCTCTGTACAAAGGAGCCTTATGCCCAGCAGTGGGACTGATATAGGCTGTAGTGTGTGGAAGTTAAGTAAACTAGCTTATTCTTAATTACCTGTAGGTAATTATTCGATAGGCTCGTTCCTTTCCTTGAAAAGTCTAAAAACTGCCTTAACTATTAACATTAACAATCAATGTGTTAATATCAAATGGCGGAACTTGACAAGAAAAATTAGGCTTGGTTGATTCAATTTGTATTCTATGCGGTACTCTAAAAGGCGTCTGGTAGTGTCACTGGCCTGGCCTGATAGCTGTCACATTATCGAAAAAAGTAATTAAATTTTATCCGATGTGAGCATATTATTGTTTCATCACTGTAAGTTAATATCTCTGAACATACGCTGTAAATAAATCTCTATATGGGTTTCTCATATGAATTCGTACATAAAACGAACGAATAAACTAACATACTCAGAGACGTTGAATGGCACTAAAATAGATTAAGTGGCAACTGGTTAAACTTGGTTTCCGTTAATCGGTAAAGGACATACAGACAGCTAAGCGCAAAAAGGCGCTAATTGAAGCCTCGCAGAGTAGGCCCCAAGTTTTTGATTTGGCCCCAAGCGAGATTAGGTACAGCTTGAAATAAAACCAAAGTCCTAGCAATGTTGTGGAAACCAATGGAACTTATTAATTTTTCTACCAATTAATTACAATAGCAACGAAGAATCCCAATATGGAGCCATTTCTTTCTATTTATTTAGGGTAGAGAAGTTAATATTCTGGTTGTTTAATATACTGGCCTTTTTATCTTGACTTCCCGAAACAACAACAAAGTTACAACCGCATTTTATATTTTGTTATTCATTTACTTTACGACATTTAATCGCAATTACTTCATAGGACGAGTTGGTATAAATCAAGTTTTATTTTTATTAATTCTATTTCACAAGCCTGCGACTACATTTTAGCCTTTTTATTGTATTATTTTTCTGAGAATAATACTTCTGTTTCGTTTATTGTAAAATATGTAAGTAAGGTGTCTTTACTTAAATGGCATATTAATCATGTCTATCGCAATAATTTCTAGAGCGATTTTTTTCTTCAATTAATATTTTCTTCAAGAAAAATTACAACCAGATCCGTTTAAAAGCTTCTGTGATAAGTTTATCATAAACTGCGAGCTTTTCTCAGTATCTGGTCGACACTGAGCACTTGCAATATTCGAAGATGGGTTTAATGTCAGAAATATGGCACTCTGCTATAAACTCTAATAAGAAAGGTTTCACTATTTTATGCCCGGACGTAATTATTATAGTATACTATCTGCCCCGGCAAACGTTGTTTTGCCATATAAATTATTTGTTTGGGGTGGATCACTCTTAACATTTACGGGGATGAAAAATAGATGTTGTCCGATTCTCCACCCTGGCCGATATGCACATAAAATTTATATTTTATTATATGCACACGAAAATCGGTCGAGCCGTTTCGTAGGAGTTCAATTACAAACACCGAGACACGAGAATTTTATATATATTAGATTGAACCTAGCACTTACGGGACCTTGATTTACCGCCAAACTTCTTCGTAAAACGAGAGTCGAATTAATTAAAAATAAAAAACTTATATGTGTCCAAGTGAGCCAAAAAAACATACTCCTCATATGTTAAGATATTTAATTTTATACAAAAATATTATTAATAGCTATATAAATTTCGTAGCAGCTGTAGAAAATTGAATCTTTTAATATCTGCACCGTAATAGAGGAGAGAGGAATGCAAGGTACACAATTATTAAAACTGAATAGCGATTGTGCTTATTACAATTTCAACTATTCATTCAAATGCTTTCGAATTACTAGAAAAATGATATAAATTAAGGGTTGCTATAATTAAGGTTTTGAAACGCTGTCATCGAAACTTGTTAACCATTTGAAAGAGTATAGCGAATGTAATTATTGTTCTCATAAAAAGCGGCATCAGTTAATCATTTTAACTTTGCTCATTATTTTTCTGCGTATTTACCTTTGTATCGCATACGCTATTGCTCCTGGACGAGGAGAACCTGCTGGATCCCGTGCGCATACTAATAAATGTGAGTCACAGAAATAGCTCCTGTTTCGCAACCTTTCATATGATTTTGTATGTAAAAAATATATGTACTAAAAGTAGAAATGGTGATTCAGGAGACAGGAGACGTCTTGTCCATCACATGAGAAAACATTTAAACTACACAAGTAACGTGGTATTTTTTAAGGTAGAATTATACCTCCGTTTTTGTTAAAGTAATTGCTGGCAGCAGTGAGGAAGTAGTAACAGTATTGTTTGAAGCATCACTATTCTATATGTTATACTTTTAATAGGCTTGTTTACTTAGATATTTTTCTACCGTGGTTAACGTTTATCACAAAACGCTTTTAAAGCTCTTACACATTTTATAACAGTATATGACGCTTATGCTTATGTTTTAAATTTAGCATATTAATGACTTTGTGTCCGATTTTAATTTGGTTTTAATTCAAATTATTTCACTTATTCGCGTAAATGAATATTTTAATACGACAGACGATATTTATCGATATCTGTCGATAGATGATAGATGATTTTTTGATAAATAATGCTTTGAAAATCTGAAAATCACTAGGTGTCGTTTGGTAAATTATCTATGTTTTTATACTATTAAAATTCAAATATACGGAGCGGGATCTAACGGGTTCAAATTAGTTTACCTATATCTTATGTTTACTAGATGTAAATACGTTTCAATTGTGTAGTTATTTTTACTTACTACTTTTTTGAATCAAAAATTATTTTATATGGTCAAATGCATGACTACGGGTAATTACTTACTAAAAACTTTAGTTGGTTTAAATACTTTTATATTTTACACACGCTCGTGGCACTATGCCGGCATGACGTTATTTCAGAGTTTGTACCTTACATTTTTTGATAATTGGATGAGAAAATGAGGTACGGATTTCGAATTCGATTCCAGAAATAAATTACAATGTTCACTTTTTGGTTCAGCTGATTAATTGGACTGCGCTGCTAACGAAATGCGAAACTTCCTCCGATCGTATCTCGTAAGTGTTATATCAGATAAGCTGAAGCTCGAGTGCGCAGAGCATTGCGCGATTTATTTTTTTACCATAAAAAGCTGTTGCTATCGGGATATACGTTAACGTTACTTTTTTAGTTACAAAGTAATAGTTTTAAATTCAAAGGTTTCTGGGAAATTTATTGGCGAAAAGAGATTTACTTTCCTTTTGTTTATACTGTTGTAATATAGAAACGCATCTGTGAAAGGTAAATTACAACCAATAATGGCAGGGCGACATATATCACTACACAGTGATATCATAACACACCCGTTCTGAAGATAAGTGGTTGCAGCCACTAGAGTACACCGCCTCGGGTGTAAGAGCTTTATTTCAAAACTATCGCTTTGTTTCCTCCTCTTCCTACGAATACAAACAAAGGTACTGCGAGCCCATTGCGTAGGCAGTAAGAGTCCCACTGGTCAGACGAGTCTGCAATAAGGCTGTCGCTATATTGGGACGCTTTACGCCCGGCAGTAATATCGAAGGGCCTGCTAGGACGATTTCCGTAACATAACGTCTTCACTGAGCAGCCAATGAGGCGTATCGTCGTGCGAATCCCTCGAATTGAGATATGAAGCTGATAATCTGCATAATTAGTAATGATTAAAGCAATAAAACCCGTGTCGCCGCCCGGCGCCGTTTGCTTAACGGGCCCGTATGGTAATTTTGTAATTCTACATAACACCCGCTTCGTACACGGAAGCGGTCGTGACACGCCGCGGCGGCCGAGCTTTTGCTAATTGGCTGTAACTGATAGATAAGCAATAAAATCAATGGTGGAGGACACCGGCTGCATCTTCAATTTATGCCGATGTGGATTCGCGATGCGCCGTGGTCCGGCGCCGCCCCCCGCCACCGGGCTTCATATTTATACGGTTAAGCGGGCACTGCGCAGAGTTCAAACGTGCGACGGGCGTTAGGAACATTGGACGGTCGAGAACAATCGCGTGGGTAGACGCGGTCCGAGGGCGTGTGCAGTGTGCAGTGCGTGCGGGTTGTGTCGCTGAAAGCTCGGCTGAGAAGCCTCCGTGAGCGGCGGCACCGCGGAGCGCCCGCCTCGCGTCAGTGCCGGCCCAGCCGCGCCGTACGCATCACGCTTCCCACTAACGTAGCCGTTTACCGACGGACAGTGTAGCGCTCGCGACGCCCAGCGAACTGCCGCCCCAATCAGCGCGGACTTATTTCGACTTAGAAGAGAGGTGAGTTACACATATTATCTTTTTAATTTAGAATGTTTTTTTTTTAAATAAATCTCGACTTCGAATTTTAAATTCCAAACCGAACAAGATTGTTAGATTGCCGCTCATGTATCAAGAGCTCTTTTGAGAAGCGCCTGAATTAAGCGGGCTGTTGAGCTTTTCCGCCGCTACGCTTCGAAAGACCATAAACATGATAAGTTTTTGTGTAGGTATCTTAAACCCTTGTACCAATACAGTTGGCATCATAACTATAAATATGAAGTTTAAGCTTTTTTTTTAAGTGAAGAATGTGGAGTAAGCAGTTACTTTCAATTTGTTTTGTTGGAACTTAATTTTTTTTTATTTCTAAAATTACTAATAGTTTAGATACATTTTCTGTATAAAGAAAATCAAATTTTCTTTTATTCGCTTAAAAATCGAACCTAAAATAAAGTAGGGAAAGTAAACCAAGTTGCATTTTTTTTAATTACTTATATTTTGGAAGTTCGCAGTCGTCATAAAAACAGCCAACCCTTATTAACATAGCGTTACTTCTTTTAAGAGAGTCTTAACAACACAGTAACACAGAGTTACTTCTTTTAAGAAAGTCTTCTTTCAATATTATTTAAACAATAATGTATTTATATGGAATTTTACATTTACGTGAAATATAGAAAACTTTATGTGATTTTAAACCGGTTTTTGATTAATTTACATCTGATTGCTATAAAAGTACATTGGAAAATTTAAAAAGAAAAATTTTAAAGAAATGAATAGGATTTGTGAAAGGTACCTTTACTAGATTTTCGCTTTAATTACTTATTTTTATTTCTTGTGCCAGCCTCTGCATTTAAATATGTGTAAATAGATAAAACTGTCGCAAAAATTTTCGAACGTCGTCAATGATTATTTAGGAAATACGAAAAAAATATACACTACAATACACACAACATTTGCTTCTAAATTCTAGCACTAAAGGAGCTTAAAACTATTTTTGTCGTATACGTCTTCCTTGTTTACTGCCTTAGAACATCCCATCCCTCTTAAGCGTCATTCATTATTCAGCATTGTTTTGTAGCGCTTGGCGCAGCTACGTCAGACGGAATAACAAAAGCGGGTAAAAAGTTAATGGAAGAGTGTTCATAGATGCATATCTTTTAGCATAAAGCCCCTTGCAGGGTACAAAAAGTTTGCACGATCTATGAACAGACTTTAACACGGTCTAAGAGTATCTGCACTAAAATCAGATCGGTTCGCCCTACCCGCGGAGTACCGATTGTACACCAGTTATACCTACAAAAATAATTGTTAAGCTGAGAAATAAATCAATATCGAGCATTAAAATCAGTCGCAAGTTATTAAAACTGTACATGAATAATCATTATATAAATAAAGACTGATTGATATTTCGTGTATTCGGAAAGTGATAAATTGTGTCGTCGCATAATTCTAAACTCCTAAAGCGTTCTGAGTTGGAAAAGTTTTCAGGTGTGGAACGGCGCGGAGCTCTGTAAGCGATCCTGCCGCGTGCCACAAGACTAAGCGTGGCGGATCCAATATTTCACAGTCACCACTGCTAATCATCCACGATTGCGGATACAAAGTTGATTGAAATCAAATCATGCACCCGGCGTGCTGCGAATGTCGTTCCGTTGTTGCTTAATTCGACGTTTTCTTCGCACGTGGAATGCAAGACGTATTTTCTCGCGACTGAAATATGCTTGCCTTCGTGTTTTATTCATGAATATTTTCTTGATGTTAATCTTTTTATTTCTATCCGTTATTAATTATTTAATACTTATTGCTTGTACTACAATATGATCGTTAGAATTAATATATTTATACGAAAATGGCCGATTCGCCGTAAAGCTAAGATGCTATTTAGACAATCCTGCGTCTAGAATAAAATAAAACTTTATTGAATGCGGTTTATTTTATTCCCATAAAATCGAATTTTATTTTACAATCATTTAGAAACAGTTTTAATAATTTTATTTTAGAAAATCGGTCATACGTTATTTAAACTGTCGAACAAATGACAAAAAGGTGATTTATATATATATCGACCATTTGCATTAAATAGTACTTGCTGTTAATTTTGCTCAACCCTGAAGGTAATCTTGATAACATTTTCTAATTTTACACTACAGCGCGCATCGAATGTCATCCTGCCAGGTTGTTTTTCTTCTCGCTTGAGTTTTTTGTCCATTAGGTGCCTGTAAACATTATGCAATTAAATATAAGATAATAGAGGGTTCACAGAGCATAGGTATTTTGTATAAATATTTATATGAGTGGGTGACGGCGACGAGCTTTCGTACTCAACTAATATTATAAAGGCGAAAGTTTGTATATATGGATGGATGTTTGTTACTCTTTTACGCAAATACTACTCAATGGATTTTTATGAAACTACAATAATATAGCTTATATATCAGAATAACACATAGGCTATAATTTATATACATATTTTATGTACATCAATCTTTCTATCTGAATGTTACGCCTTCAGCCTTTTCAACGCAGACGTAGTCGCGGGCAGCAGCTAGTCTGTAATAAACGACGCAATTGCCTCTCGCCGTAAAATGAGCATAGTTAGAAATGGCCGTGTTGAAAACGAGCATGCCGTGATCGTGGCGGAAGGGACTTAAACGACTTAAAGGACGACAGCGCAGCCACAGAGCGTCCCTAACGAGATTACCGCTGGCGGACGGCGGGCTTGACCGGGTGTGGAGTGCGAAACTCGGATTTCGTTTCGCTCGATTGCGCAAAGCCAGCGCCGGGCGGCGGACGCGAGTTCAAGTGCAGGTTGAAGGTTCCTCGGACCGCCGCCGACGGCGCGCGGCTAGCGGTCCCGGGAAACGTTGCCGCTTTATACTCCGCGTCTATGCGCCCTTTTCGCCGCGCTGTGGCTGATGAGGCGTTATGCTCTGCTGCTCAGGCCTCTGAGCGGCTGGCTATTCGAGTTCGAGTTCGAGTTATCGACGATCGTTTCCTCGGCCTGTTGTCGCTGGCAATGTATACGTGGTCGCATGGAGCAGCACTTACTTGCTCTTCGGCTGCGTTCCCAGTCGGTGATATAACCACTAGTGTTGCTTGTTGTTATAGTAGCTGTTAATATTGAAATTTAGAAATAGTTAATAGAATCAAAGTAATAACGTTAAAACTCTTACAGATCTGAGTTTGGTTTGCACAGGCTGATGATTCCGTTTGAGCTATTGACGCTCTGTTTTGCGGGTGTAAGTTTGACTTACGTGCTTTTAAAGTCCAGTTGTTCAGTAAACTCCGCAATGACTGGTTTATAAAATACAAGTAAAATTAACGTTGATAGTCGATTCCATTTCTACCTTTTAATAAATCTACAGTATCTGTTTACCCGTTTAGTAACTATAATATTTTATTACGTTCTTCGAATATGTACAATCGAGTTATCTAGAAATTAAAACAGCAAATAAAATATTAAAAAGAGGTAAACAAATTATTTTGTTTACGCACGGTTTTCATTAAAATCCTCTATCAATATATCTAATTATCTATTTTTTTCATTTTATATACCTTTCATAGTATCCGAAAATTTTAGATTAAAATCAAGCCGCACCTTAATAAAAAATTGCCAATGATATATTAAGTAAATATATATTTAAAAATTCTAAAACTTAAAAGTTAAAAGTTAAATATTTAAAAATTCTAAAATTACGATCACAACTAAACTAGAACCAATCATTTATATATTATATACATTAAATTAATGTTTTTTTTACTAAATTATGATATTCAAATCATTGAAATCAGATCCTTCAAATGTAGAAGGATTATTATGTATTATTATTCTTCAATATTGAAGAATACATAAATATTGAATTAAATAATGAATTGCGTTGCTAATTGTTACTTAAAACTAAAAAACGAGACATCTTCTACGAGCCTACGAGCGATCGCAAGATGATAACGGGAAAACTTGGTTGTGTGAAGTTACATGGTTGCGGATTGCCAAATGACAGCCGTCAGATTGATCACTCTTTAATTTAATATCACCTAGAACCAGAAGAACCAGATCTGAATAGTACAGAATTAGAAGAAAATTGACATTGACCACTCTTTGCTGCGGAAATTTTAAACACTTTCTTTCTAGTAGGTTCCTTCTGATATTACGTCATATCAATATAATAAATCACTGGTTTTACGTTTTCAATTTTGTTTGTTTTTGTTATTGAAAATATCTTTTGAACAATTATTTATAAAAATAACAATTATATTATTTCTGATATTAAGATGATATTTCTGATATTAAGAAATTTCATAAGATACTAATAGGTTAAATAATAGATAAAATATTTACAGTAGCATCAAAATATATCAGATGTGAATTTGTATTGCATTCACTGGTTCGCAGTGCTTATCTTTTATGGAGCCCATTAGAAGCTTAAGTCCTTTTACGGGGGCTTGAAAAAGGCGTTATCGTTATACTCATTTGGTGCTACCAGCACTATTACCTAATATGTTAGGGACGACCCATTTAAATGTCCATCCTCAATGTGCATATGGAATTCCGTGGAATCTAGCAATCTGTTTCCTATTCCAAATATGAAACAAGAGGAAGAAAACTGTTATACATTGTCCTATTTTAATCACTTGAAGAATTAGCGCTTTCGTGAATATTTTAATGAATTTATTCGCCAGTGTATACAATGAAGACCGCAACCGAGCAAGGTTGTCGAGCTTCCGACTCTTTTGTTTTGTCCAAACGTTTAGCAGTCAGCGCTGCGGAATCACGGTTAGTGGTTAGGGGCTAAATAGCTGGGTGACGTTTTTTCCAAGTATCTCCGCATTTGTGCAGTTTTAAGGCGCACGATGGAAGGTCGCGACAGCAAACGGACGCGTTTAACTTAATCGCATCTATCCCTGAATGTTCCGCAAGATGAGAGGTATGAATGTGTCGTGGTAATCACCGGCTCCGTGCCCGCACATAGTCGCCGTGTGAGCGTCGATAATAAAATAAACTCGCATAGCTAACTGACTGCATTAATAACGAGCGTCAATATGCGCGCGCAGAGTTCCGCCGTGATAGAATGCGCGAGCGGCGAGCGGCGCGGCGTCGCACCACGCGCCGACGCTTCCCGAGAAAATGGCAGCTTATGGGGAACCGAATCTGGGCCTTGCAGGTGCCGTTGACCCCAGCAACTTGCAACAACCGACGCACATGTGTCTCCATTCACATCCAATATTCATACACCTATAGCAATGCTGGGTGCTATCTTTTAGGGGCGTAATGTTGTTAGCGCCAAGGTCAAATTTATGTTATTGTTATTCGTCAAGTATCTTTATTTTTTCGTTAAACTTATTCAATGCTTTTAGATAATTTTAATTGCATGTTTTACTTCGCCGCTTGACACCGGCGGCACACATCGGCGCAAGAAGGTTTTAACCGTTAGCGGACCACAAAAATGCCGCAAAAACCCGCGAACCGTTTCTGTTTCACTTGCTGTAATCGTAATGTCGTGACGTGACTTCGAATCTTGGCACATTGTACGACGAGTATCAACAAAAGACAGTTTTCTCCGTGTAATTATTTAAGTGTCAAAGCGTGCAGTTCGTGGTATCGTAATCATAGTTAGCCGTAGGATATAAATACTCGATATAGAATTTATAATCGATTAACGCTGCATTTTGTTACGCGGAACGCATAGAAATGACATCACTCATTCATTAGTTTCGACTCCGTGTATAGGTAAGTCGACGGTGTTACTAGAAAATGAAATGTGCATGCAGATGGTGCAGCGCGGAGTACTTTTGTCATACGGCAGAATAGTTATTAGTACCGGCGAAGGGAGCACTGGGCGCGAGTGTATAAGAAACCTCGCCTCGTTCGCCACCTGAATGTCAATATTAGAATATAACTGAGCGGCGATGCCGGTCACAATGACCGATAAAGAGGAACACTCGAATATGACCCTACTTGGAGTCAATTTAAAATTCACATTCAAAAGAAACATCTCTCTCGGTACCCGTCGCCACCCAATGGTATGTAGGTTAAGATGTTATTTAGCTGGTGTTTTTTTGCCCGTCTTAGTTTTTATTACAATGGTTATCTTCTTTCGTGTCAATCAACCTCGTATAAGGCGTGAAACTACTGACGTCACTGTACCAAATTTTGTCTTGTTGAATTATTAGCCCGGCTATTGAAAGACTAACAATATCTAATATACGTGGGAAAGACATCACCTACTTCGCATTAATTGCGGCGGGTTAACAGACCTTTCTAGTGAGAGAGTGTTTTCATTTTGACCGTTCATCACATGAAATGTATTTCCACTCGGTGCAATCGACTAGTCGCTTTTTACTATTCACATTTATTTACATTCATGTGAGCGTTGACCCAGTTCGGATATTGAAATTAGTTTTTGAGGCAACTGACTGCATCCCAAATTAACTATTACTAGCATTGTTAATATTTAAATTTACATATTTGTATTACACAATACGGTCGTGATAGTTCGTCGGACACAATCATGATTATATCAGTTACAGGAGCGGACTTAGGCTTCTCTCGAGCTTTTCTTTCGCTACGTAAGAGCTCTTCAATGCTGAGCGCTCAGACTTATAGCACCCACACTCTAAATAACAAGACAAATAGACATGTCCACTTTACCATTTACCAAGTAAAAAATCTCACGTTGTGTTTGAATAGGTCTTTTACCAATTAGTATTTGTACCGATATTTGACGATTGCGCTGCGGAGGTACGCCACACAAACTTTGTCTAGTGGCCGACATGTTGGGCTCCGACGGGCGTGAGAAAATAAAGGGAATATTCAACAAGCAGCAGTACATTGTTTACTTTCAAACTTGAAGGGGATTTAATCATCATTTCAAAAAAGCGGTGCAAGCTAAAGATCGCTTTAATTTATTTGGGGATTGACCTTACATTAAATAAAGGACCAAAAGGACCACCGAAGGACACATTTCGTATAACGAAAAGATAAATTCACGGCGCATATTAAACGCGAACCTTTACCTTGTTGCGTGACTGAGATCTGAATCGACCGGATAACGTAGTTATTTGCCGTCACTCCATTCGCGAATCGAGTTTGTTTTTCGTTATACAATACTCTGGCATCACCGGGAAATGTAGAAATTGTAATTAGGCAATTATAAGTGGGCAGTTTCTGAGTTTTTGCGGTGATAAAAAGGCTCGGACGGTCTTCATAATGTTCAGGTTGTTTTATCGTGCGGAACGTGCGATGTCATTGTCCTGGTGTGGCGGCGAGTGAGACGCATGCAGGCCCGCGCCACCGGCGTAGTCGCGCCTCCGACTTCTCCCCGCAACATTTCGCCGATCTTTTTATTGCGCTCGGCACTCTTTATTCAATAATACAAGCGATCTTTAAGCGTTCTCTTTCGTGGCATCGCTTTGGAGATTTTTGCACGCCCGTTAACGTTTCAAAAGAAAGCATGATAGCGCGATATCGACTAGATCTACGTTAAGTAATTAGCGTTTCGATTCACGGAATTCAGATTAAAGGACTATTGCTCACTTTTTAAACGGTCAATATAATTTAGCATTGAACGATGTTTTATTAATGTTCCACAAAAGTGAATAAGGAACAATGTATTTACTTTTCTGCTGTTTTTCTGTGTGTACGGATTTTCCCTGTCCTCGTCCATTTCCTTAATATCGGAAGGGTCTCGGTAGAAATAAAATATCTAAGGCCTCACATGAATTATTCACACCTGAGAATACGCAAGGAAACTGGAAAGGAAAATCAATTCGAACGCTCCACTCTGTAAACGGTGCTGGAGAAGAAGGTTGTATATTAATGTTAAACTAGTGAATTTATACATTCCTTTGTAAAAAAAAAAACAGCAATAATGAAATCTGTTAAAGTACTTGTTTGGTAATAAAATTTATTAACAGAACCTGTTTCCTGGTATGCAACGCTTCCCTAATAAGATGGATTACGAGTAGTTAAACTCATACATCATCTTCGCCTTGAAATTGTGTCTATAGCCAGTTTTTGCGTGTTTATTTCAAAAGAAATAATAATATTTTTTAAGTATGTATTCATTCAATTAAAAGTGCTATAGGTAATCACGACCGATGCTGTGCTTTAGAGACGCAGAAAAAACCCGCGCATGACGGTGATTACAGAACTTTGATAACTAAGTATAGTTATGACGCAACCTCCGACATTTCCTTACTTTAATTTGTTTACGTGACTCATGTTCTGATTGGCTTAGAGTTTCCTTTTTTTTTAAATATGTATCTGAATGACGAATGTCCGATAAAAAGCTGTAGAAAACGTTCTGATTTACGCTTCCTGCAATTAAGGTGTACGAAATGTCTTCAAGTTTAACCTGTTCAAAATAAACATTAGCTTAAAATTTTCTCTTATATAAATCCCGTCAAACAACGATCAAGGAACAAGAAGAAAGAGGTTTAATTGATAAAAATGGTTAGATTGTAGAGGCCTTTTCATTACACGATAATAATGTAAAGTTGAAGTAGTAACACACTATCTAATATGATTTATGTGCTTATAAAATTTACTGCGACATCCAATATATTATAGGGTAACTGGCTTATCTCAAAAATGAATCTAAATCGATTTATGTATTCGTTGAGAAAACATAAGAGTAATTGCGTGTAAGTTTGATACGTTAGAAAATTGTGTTGGCGAGCAGTTTCCCGCCGAATGGCTATTCGGACAACTAGCCAGTTGTTGTTCTCGGAATATGATGGACGTTAAAATATTCGTCTCGTCGCGGTATCTGGCTCAAAACTGCGGCATCTCCGTAACGGTACTATACCACCATTAATTCAGATTGCTGTATAAAATATATATATATATATATATAGATACATAGAAACGTTACAAGCTAATTTCCGGTCGCGGGTACTCTTTTTATGGTTATTGGGGATTAAGCTCGAGGCGGCTCGTCAGCGGACGTTTCGCGAGATACGATACTTTAAAGTCGATCGCATTAAACCGGTGTATCTTACTCATGCTCTCAGTTTTATGGCTCACTGGCTTGCAAAATATTTAACATAACCTCCTTTTTATTTATTTTACCGTAGCACACTTTTTATATCAAATAACTTCTTTTGTTCTCCTTTACTCTACTCTTTGCTCTATCGTTAAATCGACGTGGGGATTGGCGAAGTTATTTAGTAACGTAATTTAAGTAGTAAAGTTGACGATGTCCACTTTTTATCGGTGTCGACGTGACTTCCACTTAATTTTCTCAAGTGACGCCACATTAGCCGCACCGTTCAGCATCGATCGATCGTTCACGTTCAATAGCAATAGGAAGAAAGGCGACGTTGACGGCGTTCGGGCAGCCGAGGCCGCCGTCGCTCCGACTTACTAAATCAATATTTGCGCAGATGTCGACGCAAGAGCATGTTATACTCGCGGCGACCTAAAATTCATACCAGCTTATATGGAAATGTTAGCGGTAAATTCTCTTCGCGGCTACTTGTAATCCTTCAAATGTGGGTCGCCCCTGCACGCATTACTTGACCCCGGCAGTGCTCAACATGCCCCATTAATATCAAGACGCAATGGTGATGTGCGATTATGCGCCCACTCTACAATTACTCACGGCCTAATCTATATTTTATGCAAGTGGCTAATGCTCCTTTAATATACTCTGTATTTCTCTTTCTTTACTTGTAATCAAAAGCAATGAGCCTATTGAGTATTATTAAAAAAAACGATTCATTATAATTACTTTCAGTTAATGATTCACAAAGCAATGCGCCCGTATATCATGTTTTACGAGCATGAATTCTTGAACTTGCAAGTTGGGTTATGAACAATTACACGCGGGAGAATTATTACTTAAGTTACGACGGAGAATATTATTATTAATGGCGGTGTCATTAAAACTGTTAATAGGTTTTGTTTGAAAGCGCTCAGGTTCCCTAGGCCGTAAGATAATCATTAATGTAAGCTTTTACAATCGCGTGCATCCATGCCTCGGAGGTCTGCACAATAAAATGATTGCCTTGCCGTGTTTTTATAGCGAAAGGGAATCCAACGCCACATACTTTATAAGCATACAAGTACATTTAACCTCCTTTTTTCCTTGTTGCGGTCGCAAGTGAAAACGAATAGCGTCATTTTCTAAGCGATGACTCCCTTGTAATATGATAATGCGGCGAATAAATGTTTCACGTCTAGACTCGTTTAGTATCGTTTTTGTGCGAAACCTGTTCTTTATAATGCAGTTCCAATGAGAAAACCGAAGCCCTTGCCTACTATTGTTGTTCGCGTTGTTTTTTTCCTCTCTCCCTCCGTGCGAGTCAGTAAACCATGGGGAATTTTATGCGAGTATTCCCATTGAGTTCATGCGAAAGGAATTTCTTCCCTTGCCTCTACAACGTAATAAATTTAAAGTTAAATAGTACGTTTGCTTAGTTTGTAGCGAAGCCAGCGGAGTGCATTAGACGTTACTCGTTGTGGGCCCGTGCGCGTTACTATGGCGACCAATAAAACAGTTTAAGGCATCCAACGTTCGAGCCATATTGTTCCTGTAAACACGCTGCGGGCAATAAAACAGTTAACGGAAAACGCTGTTCGAGTTGAAATCCACTACGTGCTCATGCCCGCTCGTTTAAGCTCGGCCCCGGCGTCCGTTCGAGCACTTGCCATTCATTCCCGGCGCGGAGATATGGACGGTAATGACTGACCAGCGGAGCGGCTATCGGTCCGCTCGTAAACGCTGTTCGACACGAGTCATTCGTACATGGCTGCGAATAGGAGTCAATAGACACCACGCCCGGCGCACTCACTTCCTGGTAAGGCTAACTGTTCACGACCACTAAAAGCCCCGCGCGCCCGTTCGGAATTATGAATGCCATTAATTGGAATGCACACAAAAGACACTTTCAAATTTAAAGGTCAGTGGTTTAGTGCGCCGTCTCGCCCGCCGGGGTGCTAGAGGGCGACATTTGTTTCTGGAACGGCTCATTGTGCGGAAAGGAGTCTCGAACTTTCTTAGATTATTCGCATCGCGACTCTAATTGTATATATTTAGTTCAACACATTTTTTGGATTTCCCAATTGTGAGTAATAAAAATATTTATTGAGCGTATAATGGATTCTAATTCAAATGCCAAGTTTAAAATTCAGGCCCCAATCACAATTTTTTGCGGCTTTTAATGGTCACAACAACTCGGCCTTTAATGGTCATTATTAAGTGGTAAATAAAGTAATTGGCGCGCTAATCGCGCATAATTTGGCGATTAGCTGTTCGTGAGGAGTGAGTTCTTTTTTTTATTTATTCCGCATGAGGCGGCGGAATGCAAGCGTCGACCGCGCAAGGGGCAACGCTCATCGTGTGAGCGCCGCGCCCGCCTACCAACAATCGCGAATTCAACGTAGGTACACCTAGCAACAGCACTCACACTAACGGTGGCTGAGCTTTCTGCGTCCACACAGACAAAGGAATAGTGCATTTACGGGCACCAAGCCGCGCCGGACTCGGCGAATTTGTTGCACGGCGAACTCAGCGGCCCGTAGCGGCGACGGACGATGCGATTCGGGATTCATAAGAAATACTATTTTTGGCTTAACACGTTCACATGCTAAATGAAACTCGAATTCCCACCTTGGTATTAAAGAGCCATTTGTAGTTGCGATGCAGATTGTCAATCACGGAGTTTCACGCGTGATGCGAATTGTTTTCGCGCGCATTAGCATATTAAGCCGAAATAAAAGCATCTGGACGATATAGATAAATCGAAAACGGAATGGCATGGAAATGAGATAATTCGTTGGCGCCCCGTCGGAATATAAAGAAACCATAACGGTGTTTCGGCGTCTAGCGCGGATTTACGTAAATTATTCGGACTACGTTGGGGCTACGTGCGTGCCCCCGCGTACGATAGAGTACCAGGCCGGCCGATGCTATGGTATCGGACCAGCCATATTAAGGTCAGCACAAAACGGACCGTGAGACATTATGCTTAACACGCCGATAAATGGTAATACGAACGGTCGAAAAATATATTAAAAGCATTGATCGACCCCGCGCATTATTCCGTTCACATATGTTTTTAATTTACGTATTCACGTAATATTTACTTTAAAACAATAGCAATATAATGAATTTGTTAAGTATGAAATGACAGTCGAAGGGCAACAGTTTATAGGCACCGAAAAAATATGTCGAGTTCCTCAAGAAATAATTTATATAGTTAGCATTTCTCATTAATTCGTGTTACTATTCATTGTTAGAAATAAATTTGTTTCACTTTAGGATAATTTATTATCCTGTGTTTTAAGGACGTTTTACAAACGTAAATTGCACGAGGACAAACACACAGATGCGAAACAACTATTTGTGGGTTGCACAAATAGTTGTCCCGTGTGGGAATCGAACCCACGACCCCCGACGCTGATGCCAATACCTTGAAAACTGCGCCACGGAGTCATCAAATAAAAAAACTATTATGTAAAAACTAATAATATATAAACCCGCATAAAAAATAAAGTCTACTAGGAAAAATCTAATATTTCATAGTCGTCTAAATCAAAACCGCTGCAACTAGTGGCTCGAAGCGACAAAATATCCGAAGGCTTTAAAAAAAAACCCGGGAACTGTTATGTGGTGTGGTGGTCTAGATAGTTTTTATAAACATCTTCCGACACAAAATTTGCACGAGTCAACGAACTGCGAGTGGCACTCGAAACGAGCTAATATTTGCACTCTTCCTACCTATTTCCTTAACGGGCTCAAACTCTGTCGTGTGCAAGGCAACTGTGGATTCGCAAATAATCCTCACATGGATGTCTTTCGAATGACGCACGCATACAACCTTACGGGAAAACAAACTGTCCAATTAGGAATATCTCAAGCTTTGGACGTCAACGTTGCGTTGTGTCATTTACAGTATTAAATGACACATCGCAAAGTAGATGACAAGCATGCCGTGATCGCTTCACACGTCCGAAGTATGTTAAGGAGCGTTCTCAGTATGCGCATGGCTGTAGTCCTTTAATCGGCCGCTACACTTGCACGACAATTATCGCCTAATAACGACACGCTCTCGGCCGAATCTAATAGTTACGGCCGCCGTGTCCACGACTCCTATGCTAATCGTCCGTAATTTACGACGGCTGATAATCGCGACATGCGTACGTGAGCGCATTGTGCGAACGACGCATATCGCGCTGGATGTCTGAGCGTAGCGTCGGCACGTCCACGCGTCCGTCGGTGACGACTCGCTAATCAATCATAGTGGCTGGATCGCGTTGAATTCTGTTCGTGTTTCGGTTTCGTTCTCACATTTTCATTTCTTTACATTAATTTAAGTGTATTTTTGATAAATTTAAATTAATTTTGATGCCAACGAATTATATTTTCTTACGCGCGTACATAAGTTCACACGTACTTTTTTTTTAAATTATAATATTAATACCTTTCCTTTGGTTGAACCTTCATCGCAGTCAATAATTTCATTTGAATCGAGAGGGAATTTGTTAAATATTAAATGGTCTGTAAATAATGTGTACATAATGGCATGTCTCGAATGCTACCTATCTAAGAGTTTGGACTCAAACTCGATTATCGAGTTTAGAGGCGATAAAACATCAGAAGTTAGGAACACGTAGCCGTGGGAGGTAGGCGGGATTGACTCAAGGCCCTCTCCAAGTGAACCGGCGGTCATCTCGTCTCGCAACTTTTACTTCAGCTATTACCGACCTCGTCTGGACTATCTTAGCGCTTATATACCGTAAACACATTGAAAGAAGACGTAATTACCTAGTTACGTTGATGATATCCCGCCGAGAGCTTTAATGATCTAACACGATATAACTTTACAGTGATGAAGTGTTTTTTATTACACAGTTCCATGCGTTTGATAGCAAGAAATCGTGTTAATGGCTTCAAAGAACGCGAAGAACACAGGCGGACATTCCGCGTCATTGTGGTGCATTAATCCATGTTCAAGAAATCGGTGTCAATGCTCGCTGCGGTTGCAATGTTCCGAAATGATGTGTTGGGCAACGCGGCGGGCAGCGACCCACCGCGCCCGCGCCCTTCCGATCGCATCCAATAGCCTTCCGTTCCCATAGCTGTTATTTCATTTTAACCCGTTCCTTTACGGGCGTTATTACAAAAAGATGTTGCGATAAGCTTTCGCCTTTGTGCTCGAAAACCGATTGTTGGAACGATACGCGGACTATATCGCGAGCGTTCGTACATTTCGAACATTCAATCGCACTGTTACAATTAATGATGGCTTCATAATAATTAATAAATAGCACGGGTTGGGCATAAATTAATATTACAAAGTACATCGGACATATATTGCTCCTCAATCGACAACGTCTACAGTTATACCTACGTGCACCCCATTAACAACGTCATCCGTTTGGCACATATCAAATTCATGTCTATCGTTCCAAATTTATACATAAATTTAATCATGTTAACTGTTCTTTTCGAAGATATACCGCTGGAGAAACGGTACGTTGAATTACGCTTGAGAAGTGGGCTCCTATTGTATGCTTTAAAGAACAAAGTCCCTCGTTCCGTCACTCAATCATAATATTATTCTCACTCGGTAGCTCGGAGAGCCAGTTCTTTTTTAATAATAGGAATCACTCTAAGAAGAAAAAAAGTACATACAATTATATAACTAGATAAAATACTACGCTTTCTAAAATGGAACGAACGGTTTTAGTAATATGTACGTACACATAAAAGGAAATGGAACCGCATTTGTTAAGTAAACTCCCAGTGTTAACTCCAATTACATACGAGAGCCTGAAGAGGAACCATTCGAAAATATGAAGAAGGCAAACACGCGTTAATGTGTTGAACACATAATTTTGGTAAAGCAAATAAATAGACGTTAGAGAATTGTGTGCCCCCTCACCCTCAACGCAGAGGTGACTTGCGAAGAGCGTCTAGACGGAGGGACCCTTTCTTATATATACTAGCCGGCACAATACCTTCGATCCGCCAGATTTATACGAGATCGATATCAAATAGCAAATTCAAGACGCCATTCCAATTATCTAAACGGCGAAGTAGTGTCTCGTTTATTTTAATTACTCTATTCTTTTGCTTTTGTTTAGTAACCAAGATAGCGTATGTTTAGCGAAATCGATTGATTCATATAAGTTTTTCGCCGCCCTCCACGGTAATGCTGACATTGTTATTATGGAAGGGCTTTTCATTTGCGCTCTAGTCTAGGCTTTAATCACATGAGAGCCGGCTCAATACAGCTTTAGCGAAGGACCAGCGAGAGTTTCAAAAGCTCTCGAATGGCATACAATTTAATCTAATTTCTAAACATCGCATACAATAGCAGGATGTTGCATTCAAGCGGCACTTTTTGTTAATTGCAAGATTTACAGAGCTTTAGCGCTTGTTTCTTAGGTTTTAATATTATTACACTGTATTTCCGAGAGTAGTATTGGTGCCGAGCTAGCAAGTGAAGCGACGTCACCCAAAGAATTGCGAATGACAACGGTTCGAGTGCAATAATAAGTATGAGGATGTATATCCGGTGTTGTTAAAAACAACGCGCCCGTGGAGTGTGTACATCTCGGCTGGGGTGCGACGTGTCCCCCGGCTCCCGCCCCCCACTCGACGGCGCGTCCTCAATGCTTACTTCCACGACACATATTCCCACTATCACCCTCGCCGCTCTCCCGCAATACATTTCTGCCTTTATTACGCCGCCGAAGAGCTTCTTTAGTATTTTGTTACGAGCACCGCTTCGCTTCATTTCGTCCCACCCCTCCAATTAAGATTGCGACTCGCTTTTGAACTCGAAATGAAAACAAAACATTTTCTGTTGCGGAGTTCAATTTGACTTAATAAGCTTACCTCGCGGCCGGATGTATTAAAGTTCGCCTCCATTCAGGGCGAAGTTTTTTAATATGTTCGCCTTCTGTTGCCCGAGTGAGGGACATTTTTATTTTTAAAACCTCTTCTGAAAATAAAACATTCTAAGCAGCTTGTTCAATGAAGTGGAAGAAAATATACCATATCATAGTACTTCGTTTATGCTTGAAGAACTATTGTTAGTTCAGAGCTAATGAGGACAAAAAATATCGATACCTTCACAAGACTTTGAGACTTTACTTAGCACAAGAAAAGCCATCTTCAACTATAACCACCGCTAATTTTCTGGTGTTCTAAGCATTACTACGCTTCGTCCGATGAATGTGAGACTATTATTCGTGTTTCGAGAGAGTCCCTGGTGAGTGGGCTGAGGGGACGCTCCCCGCGAAAATCGACGATATTGGGCCGTAATTGATCGGTCCGTGCGATTGTTGCAGACGGGAGCCGGCAGATGGATCGGAGGCGCGCGGCGGGAGCGCTGCTCGCGCTGGCCGCCTGCATCGCGTGCAGCACGGCGGGTGAGTACCACACAACGCCCTTCTTACAGCTATCTAAGAAGTCCGTACAGACTTTAAATGCATGAGAACTGATTAGGCTTTATTAATCGTTCTTTAATCGAAAATCTCACACATTTTAGTTTGTTTCGATTTATCTTTTGTTTTTTAAAATGACTACAAAATTGAAAAGTTGCATGAGAGTTTATTAGAATTCGTTCTTCATTCAAAAATCTGATACATTTAAATTTATTTTGTTATGATTATGTTATGTGTATAATATTTCTTGGCAGTAATTATGGGCGTAAATAGCAAATTTCATTGAATTGCCAAATGAAACCGAAATCGCTAAAAATTTAAATGAATGATAGCCGAAATATAAAACCTCAATGACACTGATCCAGGGCAACTAAATACATAAACATATCTTAATGTGAGTAAAAATAAATAAACTCAAAGGGTAGTCACTAAATGGATAAAATCAAAACATATTGTTAATATTTAATATTTAGAAACCTATGCCGTATACTAAATATAAAATACGCATGAAAAAACAAAAAGCAAAAGTATTTCGTTAGCAGGTTGTAACTCCTTGTGTTCCTTAAATCAAAGTCCGCACGCTTTACGATTTATTTTACATTCGCGTACTACATCAATCGATTATTGAACAGGTTCTCGAGGGCGTTGATCTCTTAGCGATTAATTATGCAGAAACGTTCGGTGCATCTAATTACCTTTTTCCGGGTAATCGACAAAGGATGTGTTGTCCGACCAGCCCTGTCGTGACGCGTTAAAGGTTTCCTGCGGATTCCAGGAAAATCTGGTCGTTAATGTGATCCCGTTTAAAGCAGCCTGTGTCGGTCGCGCGGTTAGGTAGCGAATTCGGGCCCGCCGTTTTCGCCAGGCCCTTCGTCGGGGCCAGGTTTGCGAGATAACAGTAAAGGTCGCTCTGTCTCGCGGTGCATTTTATTAGATAATGCTATTTAGGTCCACTCAGATTTAGTATACGTGGCACGGCAACTTCGAGGAATTCGTGTTGTATTAATGGTTGTACATAGGAAGCATATTCAAATGTGCCCTACAATGTTTAGGTCTACCCGTGTGAACTTCATCGTGCATGGCAACCACGACCACATTCATTCATTGAAACAACTATCCATATTAATGCAGCGCAAATTTTGAATTCACGTTGCCTCCTCACTTCGATTGCCCCGGCCCATGTTCTAAGCTCACGAATTCGCATTAAGTGGTTTTTTTTTCTTCGTACGGCGCAAAGCCATTTATAACGTCACAGTTTACATACGTGCATGCGATCGTTTCGTTTGGTGCCATGGGAAAATACGAACCCGAGACGTGACGTAAGCCCAATCGTATGCGCTTCGGCGTCGAATTAATATGACAATATTAAAATCGTAGTCATCGAATGAAGGCAACGTCCAATCGGACACATCAACACCGTTACGTTGGCCCGTTTCACATTCGAGGTTTTACGATCGGAAGCGTTCGCAAAAATGCAAAAATATTATGATTGAAATCGCGTCGGGCGAAAACTGGATGCTGACGGCATTCCTGGCGACCGTTAGGTGGACGAGCACGCAGTCGCGGAGCCGAGCGGCCGCGGCGCCGCGCCCTAACGGACACGTCTGCGCGTACGCCGCACACTCAGTCTCAGACGCAGTTTCATTCTAACAGGCGGCCTCCATCAAGCCGTCACTGGCTCAATCGTGGCGCCCCTTGTTTTAATGTTGTCATACTAGTCTGTTTGATTAATTGCCTCAGGAGGCGAGTATAAAAGTTATGCTCTCATACGCATAGATTAATGACTACATTATTGGCATTTTTATTTACAAGTTTTATTCCGAATTTATCATTGCCCATCAATCGATCAATTCAATATTTTTTTTTTCCTAAATTTGTCTTATTCTGTCCGTTCTTTAAGAAGAAATTGAGTTGCCGACTGCCTGAATTACAACATATTGGTACACGTAGACATTATCGTGTCGATTAATTGTCGCTTATCAGCTAAGTATGCGTAACAATAACCATAGACGCAAACTTAATCCTGCTAATGGATAACGAACAAACACTTTGACTCTGACCCCGAGTATCTAATCTGCGATAAAGTTGCGGTTACAAAGCTAACTGCTCTGGCCGTTACTTTAATTACAGCTTTGTCGCGCCGCTCGCCTCACTAATTAGCCTTACTAAAACGGATATGTGAAGCGAATATAGCGTCCAAGCCGATTGCGAATCGTTATGCAGTCACATTTTTGAGATTTAGCCTTAGTAGTTTCATGCAGTAGTTAAAATTGTAATACAAAAAAACTAAAAGAATTATGTCTTAAACAACTCATTAACAATTATCATCTTTAGTTTATTTTGCCAATTACTTATTAGCCACGTGCAATCTGCAAAATATATTAGACACTTAGAATATGGTTCGTATAACCAGTTTTTCATTAAGACTAATTGCATATATTAACCATCGGGATATGTAATAACAAATAACCTCAAATATATAAGTATACGTTGATGAAATTTTAATAAGCAGGTTAATACTTACTGTGTATTATATTTATTGTGACTTGTTAAATATTAAGATTACTTATTTTTTTATTTTCAGCACCGATGGCTAGTAGTAATCAGACAGCATTGGATGTATACGATGGTAAGTTTTTAAACGGAACACAATTTTAGTTAGATTGTCCTGTTGCTAGTCTAATGACCAAATCATATTTGTATTCCAAATATATTTTTTTATGCGAAAAGTTGCCAAACGAGCTGACGGGTCACCTGATGTTAAGTGAATATCGCCGCCCATTTACATCTGCTACACCCGAGGGTTACAAATGCGTTCAAAATTGGGCTCCGGCTATCTCACTCACCAGACGAAACGCGAAAGTATTTGTCATAGTTCCACTTTACGCTGATCTTCTGTGAGGTCGTGGTACTTACCCGGACTGGCCTGCCCATTCGTGCAACAGCCGAGGCTGCTGCGTGGCCCTACCACCGTCAAATAAATATATATTTGAAATAACATCAATTGAATTTTTCAGGGACAACAGAAGGTTGTTATTACAACTTCCAGCACTATGGCGAAGGCGACCGAATAATGACGAACGAGCCGTGTCTAAATTGTACTTGCCACAACCGAATGCTCATGTGTTACTTGAGGGTTTGTCCATTTACGAAGCCAATTGGTCAAGACTGCACTGTAGAAAAGCGGGCTGATCAATGCTGCCCTATTGTCACCTGCCCAGATGGTAAATATACAATAAGGAACTTTTATTAAACTAGGCAAGCAAATGTTTTTGCCCTTTCGTCATACAAGGAAGGTCTTGCGCCAACTCATCGAAACTATTATATTATGGTTTTCTCCCTATACTGTGGCATATGACAAAAATAATAATTTATCCCATGTGGGATAGATTTGTATCCATCATATTTGAAGTAGCCTTTTGATTAAGGATTAAGTATTATTACACGGTTTTGGTAAAACTTTTGGTTTTGTATTTTTAAATCTCATAAAAATTTTGTATTTTCCTTTTGGAATTGAGAAAAATACATTAATTACGTGATTAAACCAAATACATATATCAGTTTTCACGTAAAATGCCATCCGGGATCCACGCAATATACAAGAATTGCTCGTTTAAAGGATAAGATCTGTATCTATCGTCTAGTAAAATTAATTAAAATGAAAGTAAAATATAAACAAAACATATTTAAACTATTAGTATACTATTAAATATTTGGATAATATGCATACTATCCAAATATCTAATAATTGAAATTAAATTGACTTTTATGTTTCATATATTTGTAATTATTTTAGCCTAATTAAGGAGGCACCACTCAATGATATTAGGTTTATAACCGATGTTTATATTTCAGTTCCAGTTGACTTGCTGACCTCTACTTCTACATCATCTCCAGCTGAATACGGAGCAACTGGAATCGGAAAACAAGACAAGTATGGATGCAGTATCAATGGCAGATACTTCCCAGAGGGTTCCAAAGTACCACCAGCACCGAATAAACCATGTGAACACTGTTATTGTATTCGCAACATGACTACCTGCGTCATGCAAGAATGTACTTTACACGTTGATGGATGTGTTCCCATTTATCATAAGGATGTATGCTGTCCTGTAAGATACTCATGTGGTAAGTTGAAAATTCTTATAAATATATTTTTAAAAAGCATTTATAAACATTATTGAATTGTGCTCACCATAAACCGTAATGTTTTTCACTTACAGATCACCCAGAAGATGAAATACCACTTTTGGATGATATGACCACAACAGTACGACCTACACCTGGATTTTTACTTACAACCACAACCCTAACACCAGTAACACAAGTATCTCAAGATTGCATGCACGACGACCAAATATTTGCTGATGGTGCTTTGATTAAAACTGAAAAGGCTTGCGAGCACTGTTATTGTATGAAAGGTGATATTGTTTGTGTGGTACAAGAATGTGGAACTCCAATGGAAAATGAAGGTAAAAACTGCAGTTCACTACCTCCGCGTCAGGGACAATGTTGCCCAGATACGTATATCTGCGAAGGAGATGAACTCAGCACTGATCAATCTCCAGATGTGGTAACAGAAGCTATAATTATGTCAACAAATCCTCCGAGGAAAGGTGTTGAAGGTAGTGGGTATCGAAATGAGCCCGATGAACCATACACTGACATGCCAATATTTGATACTACAGAAGTGGAAGGCAGTGGTGAAGATGAATCTACATTAGCTATAGACAAAGTTGAAACTTTAGTTCCAGAAAAACAAACTCCAGACTTGGAAGATGAAATGTTCCTAACAACGGCCAAAGTATCAGAATATAAACCAAGCAGTACAGCAGAACCCGGATTAGATCAAACTAAAGTTCCAAAACTCGAATCCAGTGCTGATCAATCATCTTCAAAATATGAATATGATATTACTACGGAATCAGTTAAACCCGGTTTGAGTGCAGAAGACGAAAGTAAAGTCGATGCTGTAAATAAAGATGTCGATACAACGCTTGACATAGGTAACATTAAATTGACTCCAGAACTGTCATTAACCACCATCAAAAATTATGAGTATGATAGTCCTTCAACATCTGAAAGCCTCACATCCAGAGAAGATCAATTAATTGTGACAACTGAATCAACGTATAGAAAAGAAGATAATGTTCCAACTTTAACTGAAATAACCACTAAATCTTCAGTTAATAAAGCAACAACTGGAGCTGTATTTAACGAAGCAACGACTGGAGCTGTATTTAATGAAGCAACAAGTGGAGCTGTATTTAACGAAGCAACGACTAGAGCTGTATTTAATGAAGCAACAACTGGAGCAGTATTTAATGAAGCAACAACTGGAGCTGTATTTAACGAAGCAACGACTGGAGCTGTATTTAATGAAGCAACAAGTGGAGCTGTATTTAACGAAGCAACAACTGGAGCTATATTTAATGAAGCAACAACTGGAGCTATATTTAATGAAGCAACAACTGGAGCTATATTTAATGAACCAACAACTGGAGCTATATTCAATGAAGCAACAACTCAATCTGGTCAAAAAGTAACAGATAGTGTAATATATGAACACAAAGTTACTGCAGGAGAATATATGGAGTCAACAACATTACCCCAAGATGTTAAAATTACTGGTACACACACTAATATTGATGACATTAAGACGATCACAACAGAATTTTCGCCAGTCATTGATAAGAATACGAGCGATCAAGAAACTTCGAATGAATTAAGTTCTTCCAGTACATTTAAACCGGACCTGCCAGAAGTAACAACTTTAAATTCTATAGAAAACGAAATATACGAAGATTTGTCATTGCCCGATTCTTCCAGTAGAATTCCTGGCGAAGGAGACTGCCTTCTTAATGGTATTACCTATAAAAACTATTCAACTGTACCTAGCACAAATAAATGCCATACTCAATGCAAGTGTGTCAGTAGTATCGTTAAATGTGATCCAATAATATGCAGCCCACCACCAGAATATGCTAACATGAATAATTGTCAGCCAATATACGATAACTCAGATTCTTGCTGTCCGACTTATATTTGTGATCATTCCAAAGAAACGGTCTTACCAGAATCTCACAGTCAGATGTCTGGTACAGAAAGCTCTAAGCCCATTCATGGTAGTGATTGCAATGGTAATGAGTGTCAAATAATTGAAGAAATTGAAAATAAACCAGAGCAACCCGACTGTGGAGTAGATGGCTGTACTGTTGATACAGGTTCTACTACTGCATATACTGAAGACTGTCTAGATGGTAAATGTAAAACATCACCACAAAAAGAGTTGCCATGTAATGAGAAAACAGGTTGTCAAGTACCTGCCGTAAAACCTTGTGAAGGAGAAGATTGCATTGTCAAACTGGACCTTGACGCTAAAGAGGAAACTATAAATTGTGAAAACAATAATAATTGCGGAAATATTCAACCTTCTGTAACAGAAAAAGCATCTTGTAAGGACGGTATTTGCACATCAATTTTACCACCACAAAGTCAAGGGGATGTTGAAAAAGATTGTGATAATGACTCATGTAGACGAAAAGAAACTTCGAAAGATGAAATTATTGTTCCAGCAAAATGTATCGGACAGCAATGTGATAACCCACCAGAAACGGACAAAATACTTAATGAATTGACAACTCAGGCACCTACATTATCCGAAGAAACTACCAAAATAATTGAAACAGATATTTCCACTCCAATTTCATCATTGGAATATTTACCTACTAAAACAGATCAAAAATTATCTAGCACGCTGGCGGAAGAAACAACTACAAGTTCTGATACTTCAAGTAACAAAGTGGACCTTGGATCAGAGAAATATACAACACCGAATGAAGAATATCACCCTGTAGCTGTAACTGTTTCGAGTGACTCCAAAAGTATAGAACTTACTACTACAAAACAACCTGAGGATGAAAAGGAAAGCAATGAAATTTCCAGCGAACGTGAGCCCTCTATAGAAATGAGTACGACCATACCAGATACAAACAAAGAAAAAGAATATTTCACGACTACTTCTCACAATCTTCTGACAGAACCTGCGTTAGCTGAAGAAAATACAGAGCCACAAGATACAGAAGAAAAGATTTCAGGTGAAAAAGAGTTCCCTACAGAGTTGCCAATTCCAAGTACTGAATCTGATGCAATTACAATTTCAGAAATACATAAAATAACCACACCATCTTCGGTAGCTCCAAAAACCAGTCCACATGACCATACGCTTTCTGATTTTGAAAAAGATATCAACATGATAAAGGTCAACATCGAAAACACAACCCCAGTAATAGATGATGAAAATCGTTTAAAAGAAACGGATATAACAGAATCTTCTTTAAATAAAGATGAAACGAATAATGACAATGAAGAAAAAGATTTAACAACACTCTCATTTATATCAAATGAGAACGACCATACCACGGAGGCTGTAATAAGCAACACGGATGAATTGACTCCTAACATATTAGTTGAATTTACAACAAAGTCACAAGAATCCCATGACGTTGAAGAAAATTTCACAGATGGTAAAATAATTGACAGTATGTATACAACACAAAGAAACTTACAAACCACAAAAGAACATGAAATTATTTCAGACATCTCCACCACAAAAAAAACTATTGAAGATTCCAAGATGCCTTTAATACCTACGGAACTGACAGAAAGCATGTCTACCGAAACAAGTGTCGATGAAGGTATAAAACAGACGGAAACATCGCAAATAAGTAATGATAGTAACGCTGAACACAGAGTAACTACTGTTTCTACAGAAATAATGCCAGTTGATATAGATCAATATAAAACTACAGATACGTTGGATGCATCTCAGAAAGATTTCTTAGGAACCAAGGAACCGAAATATGAAGAATCATATACCAAAATGCCACTGCTTGAAGATGAGCATGTGAAAAAGATTACTGTAACTACTGAGCAATATCAAATGGAATCTATGAATGGCAGAGGAACCGAATTACCGAATTACGCGGGTGTTGAGGAAGAACTACAAACTGAAGTTAATCATTCTTATAAACCAGATACGTATACTACAATATCAGAAGATATTGAAACTGGTTTTGACAAAACTCAAACAGAATTACCAGTCCCCGTTACCGAAAGTACATCAGAAAAAACAAAAGAAGAAAACATTGTTACGAAGTTGCCTACAGAAGAGGAAAATGAAATGGTTAAAACAGACACTGATTCTGCAATAATAACTGAACCATCAAAAACGGAAGATTTATCAACAGAATTAAACCAAGTAAATATAGATACTAATGACAATGTTATTATTACCGGTACTATAGAAAAATTAACTACTAAATTACCTCCTTCTCCAGACCACTTCACTAAAGATACTTTCGATGAAAAAGTTATAGAACCACAAGAAATTACACAAAAAACAGAACAATCTGTGCAGACGGAATCAGCAGGTTCATTGACTATTACTGATGAACAAACTGAGGCCGCAATCGACCATCATAAGCTTTCCACAGCAGATCTTCATATTTTAGAACCTCATGAGTCATTGGTTACGACCCCCAAACCAGCTGATAAAGTTCCAGAAGATTATGAAGTTGAGATTTCAACTTCAAAGATATCTTCTAAATTCGAAGATGTTGCAGAAACATTTACTGAAAGTTTGGTTGATATTACTCAGCAAACTGATGGATTGAAAGTGAGTGAAGAAGGCAAGCCAATAACATCGACAGAACCATATATCGACGCATTTACTACTCATAGAGATGCCTTACCTATTGTTGGGTCTACAACATTACCAGAAACTTCTGAAAATATCATTCAAACGTTTACTACAATAGAAGATAAAGATATAACACCAACTGTATCATCAGTTAAAGATGATGTATCTGTTGAAATTTTACCATCTGAAGGTTCAATAATTGGTTCTAACGAAATTGGGATAGCGACTGAACTCGATAATTCTGAAGAAACTAATACATTCAAGCCTGAACTTACAACAAATATTTACGAAAAATCACCAACAGAAGATAAAAAGGAGACAACTATATCAACTCATATAACGGATGAATCATATCCACATGATCAAATTAGTGAAACTAATCTAGTGACAGAAGAAGAGATTATGGAAAAAGCAACAACCTTATCTCCAGAAGAAGAATCTCATAAAGGCTATTTAGATCAAAAACCTAATTTAGTGTCTCAAGAACCAGATATAGAAGATACAAGGGCAACTACATCACGTTCTATTGCTACCGATATACAAGGAGAAGAAAAGTATACAGAAAAACCGGTTATAGTTTCCACGGAAACACAAGATAGTATTTCTGAGCAAGATAATTGGAGTACGGAGTTCAAAGATAAATCCACAGAAATTCCTGATTTAACAATTCCTACTAGTCAAACGGAAGTTTCAGAAGTTATATCAGATATATCCGAAACTTTGAAGACAACACATGCGCCACATTCAGATTTGACAGAAAACTTATACCCTAAAAAGGAGGAGCACACTACCTCTAAAACTCCAGAAGAAAAAATTTATCTTGAGGACAGTACAATTAAGATTGAAGAAATGGCTCCTACTGAAGAATACTTAACGGCCTCTACAGAATCCCCTGAAAGAGTTACAAAGATTGAAGATAGTCAAGAAAAGACAACTCAACAGATACTTACGAGTGAAAAAATTACAGAAGGCCTAGAACAAACATATAATACAGAAATTAAAACGGAATCACCAGCGGTTACCGTCAAAGTAACCTCTGATGGTATAACTAATAACTTAGATACTTTATCCGTTGAAATTATTAATGAGACCACGACACCAGAAGTACCCACAGAATCAGAAAAAATTTCAACCAAACCATCTTATAATGACAATGAATTAAAAATCACTAAACCGTCGGAGCATAATGTTGAAGGAGAGGTGACATTAGAAGATAAGGAAATCTTTACTGAAATACCAATGCATGTAGTAACAGACATGCCAATAACATGGTCATTAGAAACTGGTACAGTTAAGCTACCAGAATCCCTCGTTGTTGATGATAACGAAAAAACTACGATAGCTCAGCAGGCAGTATCAGAAGATTTATTGACAGCCTCACCTGAAGTAGTAACGGAAAAGATGCAAGAAAACGTAAATAATGATGATGAAACTCAAAAAACATTAGATATACCTAAAGTAACGGATGCACCTTACTCTAAATTTACAGACAACGTTGAAGAAGTATTAAAATTAGATGAAAAAGAAAAGTTGGATAAAACTAGTGCGAATCCTATTGTAGATAGTACTACAGAAGAAAAAGATCATAATGAAGAAACTAATGTAGCTTCAGAAATGTTCGTTCCTGTTGAAACAACATCGCAATTACCAGAAAATGGATCAGTTAATAAGGAGGCTATAACAATAACATATGAAACAGAAACTGAAGATTTCTCAGACTTGCCAGAAATTTCTTCAGACAAACCTTTAGAAACGGTCGACAAAAGCCAAATTACTGAACACAACGAAATTTCTTCCACATTAGCATCAATTGAAGTTTTATCAGAAGACCATCTTTCAAAACCAACACCGTCTTCAATGACAGTTAGTACAAATAAGACGTCCGAAACGTCAGAAAGCTTAGACAGTGATAAAACTATATCTGAAGTTCCCGTCTTATCTTTAACACAACCAAGCGAAAGTGACTTACTTAAAGATTTTTCTCCAAAACCTGAACAAGAAGGAACCACGCAAACAAACTTACTTTCTACTATTGACGCAAACACTAAAACAGAAATGACATCAGAAGAAGGACTTTCTGAATCTAATACAGTACCTATGGATGAAGATAAAATAACAAGTTCAGACTTAGGCCAACAATATACGCAAGGTCCCGAGGAGATATTTACGGATCTACAAAAAACTACCTCAGAATCATCAGAGCCTATAACTGAAAACGAAATATTTAAAACTGAGACATCTGTACCAGCAATACAGAAAACTGATGAAGAAAAGTTATCCACAACAAGTTTAGATGTAGACCAGCAATTTACGCAACGTCCGGATGAGGCATTAACGGATCAACAAAAATCTACTTCAGAATCATCTGAGCCTCCAACTGAAAACGAAATATTTAAAACTGAGATATATGTACCAACAACACAGAAAACTGTTGAAGAAAAGCTAACCACAACATTCCTAGAAAGTTTTACAACTCTAAAATCTGATGCAGAATCTCCAATCCCAGTATCTTTGGATACAGAAATATATCCTTCTGTAACAGACAAGGTCCAAGTGAGTGATGATCAAATTATTGAAACAAAAGTACCAGAATTAGACAAATATACAACCGAAATTCCTACTCTTATTACTCATGAAACACATAAAGAAACAACGGAAAAAGAAATAATACCATCAGAACCACCGGTCACAACAAAGGAACATATCGAGGTAACTCAAAAATTATACGAAGAAACAACAAGTCAACCAAAACAATCTGATTATGTTACTACTGAGCAAGAAGAATTGTCGACGAAACTTGAAGAACCGGTCGATATCACCCTAGAACCAAACTTAGTACAAACTAAGCCTGAAGATGAAACATCCAAATTACCCCAATATACAATACCAACATCTAAGCCAACAGATGAATATTTAGAATCAACTCCATATTTCATCGAATTAGAAGAGCACACTCATAAGAGTATTGAAAGAGTTACTCCAGAAGAAGGAATTTCAACGGTAAAACTGGAAGCCCAACATCCTGAAAAAGAAGAATATGACGTTACCACTGAGAAACTAATTATTGATGAACAAGAAATCCATACTGAAGATGAGCCTAAGGAAACCGAAGTGATAACAGAACGAGAGAAAGACATTGGGACAACTCTATTAACCCATTATGATTTAGATACTTTACATACTACTGATTTACCACTTGAAAAATCTACAGATCAACCAACAACACCTCATGTGTTATACACGGAAAGTCAAAGTGAAGTTTCTAAACATTCATCGACATCATATGATAAGGAGATATCAACATCTATCCCTGTAGACACCACAGTAACCTATGAAAAGCAAGAAACACCCAAGCCCGAGGTTCAGGCTACCTCTGGAGCAGACACGGAAAAGGAAAGTGCCATAGTTACTGAGAAACCACTGGAATCCATATCACACGTACATGAAACTACAGCACCAGAGGATGAATTTATTCCAGCAATAACAAAGGGCACATCAACAAAGCTTGCTGAAGATATAACGACCCTTCCACCTATTCAATTTGACAAGTTTACTAGTGCACCAGAAAAGCCCATTGGGTCTTCTCCTTCAACATCTCCAGAAATGCAAAAACCTGGTTTTAATGAAGTACTACCAACTGATGATCTACATTCGACAGATGACGATAGCCATTTCCCACCAACTGGATCTAGTGGATACGGCCAAGAACCCGATTATGCAGAAGAAGATCAAGCATTTGGCCCTGGAACCTGCAGATACGGAGGCAAAGTCTATGTTTCTGCCCAACAAATTCCTAGGGATGATCCCTGTGACTTCTGTTTCTGTTTCAGAAGTGACATTATATGTCTACAGCAAAGCTGCCCTCCTCCGATTCATGGATGCCACGAGGAACCGATACAAGGATTTTGTTGTCCCCGTTATGAATGTCCAGTTTCAATGGCAACTACGCTTAATATTACCACGACAACGACAACAACAACAACAACATTGCCACCGCACTTTTTGCCACACGCTTATAAGGGAGCAGCACAAAGAAGAGGATGTCAAATAAAAGGACACACATATAAAGTTGGAGAAGTAGTACGTGCATCCTCAGGACCATGTTTACATTGCACGTAAGTATTAATATTATTAACAGTATTCGTATTGAATTAATAAACCGTATTCATTTAATGTAATATAATTTTTAAAAACAGTATGTATATGTCATTGAAATTAAACTTTATCAAGCCTAACGACCAGGCATCAGTGAGACTAATGTTCCAAGACCTTAAGATTTCGCGTCATAAATTGGACATTAACCGTTTAGCTTTTCTTTAGTTAAATTGTTTTTTATTCACAAAATCCATGTTCACTCATTTCCTCAAACTGAAATGTCACACAATAGGATTGGCATAGTGGATAGTGAACCTGTCGCTTGCGCCAGAAGGTGTGTCTTAGATCCCTACTACAGGAAAAATTATTGTGTGATAAACACAATGTCTTTCTGTTTGGGTGTTGATATTATCTTATTATTTATAAAATTAAATAATGTTTATCAGATTATTGTGTGATAAACACAATGTCTTTCTGTTTGGGTGTTGATATTATGTTATTATTTATAAAATTAAATAATGTTTATCAGTTACCTACCTGGTACCTACAGCATTGTTTAGTTTGAGATAACGTTGTGTAAAATCATGACCGAAAATATTATTTTATTTAACTGTATCGGATAAAATATCCCGAGTAACGCTAGAAATATATTTTACTCTGCACATGAAACAAAAAAGTTTGATATAAATGTCATTTATTTCAGAAAATAAAGCTATACGTCATATTTAAGTAAACAATGATTTATAATAATTATTAAACAAAGCCTTTGGACGTAACCTTTTAAATTAATTTAACCATTTATTGATCACTCAGTTCATTTCTATACTTAAAAAGACCTACAGTACACTAATTATGATGGACCAAATACCACTTCGCCGCAACATGTCTTAAATTATTTGTTTATCAATATGATAACGTTATTTTCAAAAATAAAAAGTTAACAGGACTTCAAAAAATTCCAAAGATGACATTTAACCATGACAGAATTTTTTATGTGAAAAGTTGCCAAAGCAGAGCCGACGGTTCACCTGATGGTGAGTGAATACCGCCGCCCATGGACATCTGCTACACCCGAGGGTTACAGATGCGTTGACAACCTTTTGAAAATTGGGCTCCGAATACCTCACTCACCAGACGAAACGCGAAAGTATTTGTCATACTTCCACTTTACGCTGGTCTTCTGTGAGGTCGTGGTACTTACCCGGATGGGCCTACCCATTCCTGCAACAGCCGAGGCTGCTGCGTGACCCTACCACCGTAAAAAAATTGAAGATCTATTCTGTAATGTTAATATACATCCGTTACAGGTTTTGCACCTTGCTTATTATTATTAAAAAGATGATGATTATTATAACATCAAAATAATGATGACATCAAATTGAAATTTCAGATGCGGGGGAGACGGTCAAATGAAATGCGATCCTAAGGCGTGCACACCAGAACCGATGCTGAGACAAATGATAGCAGCCGCTGTCTCAGCCAAGCGACGAAGGTGAAATGCTTCTGTGATTCCGTCATTGAAAGTATCATAACTAGGAGTCACATAATTATGTGTGATAATAATTTCCATCTATTCTCCTATGCACAAGAATAATGCTCAAATTTCGCGATGGAGTAGTTTAAGATTTCGTGTCATATGTAGTAATTGATTTAATTATTATTATAATTTACTTTACATAAAGTGTCCTGGCACGCGCAACTCGATATCAGTGAACGAATCAATTGTGACTGTGATTAAAATAATTAACAATTTCTGCAATCAGCAACACTTACATTTGTCAATGTTATGATTTATCTTCTATTGAAAAACCAGTGCCAAATGGTAGTGCTAGGTTTTAAACGCCTTTATGATAAAGAGGTTCTAAATTTAATGAATTTTACATACAAGGAAACACAGTGACCAATACCAAGCTTGATAAATTTAACCTGAATATTGAAACCATGCAATATATTGTGATGTAATACCGTGTATTGGTCACTGTAGATCGCCGAAATCTTGACCATTTATAAACTTAAATTGTTTTACCGATATATGTTTAGTCAATTCTTTCTTTTTGCACGATGTTACTCACGAAGCGGTCTAGTATCGTGTAAATACGAAAGTCTATAAGGATCCATAATGTTGTAAATGCCTTACTTAATTTGTAATAATTTATATATTTTAGGTGTATAGTACTTAAGCCATGTTTTGAGACCAGTGACTATTTTAATTTAGAAATAAAACAAGGCCCCATAAGATACATAGAAAAGTCTCAGTCGATGCACCACCTTCAGTGTGGTAGCCTTGGCCGGTGCTTTTCCTTTCACGCATTTTATAGAAAGCGACACTATTGCGGCTTGTTTTCTGTAACTCGCGAGAACGTAAAATTTTGTACTAGCACTCATTTAGTTAACGTGGCCACCATTTTTAACCGTTTTGTAAAAAAAAAAACAATATGTTTAAAACGATAAGGAACATATTATAAAATATTTTATAACTTTTGATAATAAAGTGCTGGTAGATTTTATATTACAAAAAATCAAAGCAGATCAAGATTGGTACGAAAGTTTCATAGGCTGTTGTAATCGTTTTTAATAGTAGAGATAAGCAAACGATTACATTAATTCGTACCAAGCTTCTTCTGTGTTCGCAGGTTGTAGTTATATTTTTCTTATTTATTTAAATTTATAGCAATAGCATTAATATTATCGATAAATTCACACTGGTTATCTCTTGTAATGATCCGAAAAGTTGACCACAACGTATACAGTTCAACGTTTACCTAATTTTTATATTATAATTATATTATCTTTTACCGAAAATGCATAGCAAGGATCTAGCAATCTGTACAACTACGCAAATGAGTTTAAATAAAATACTTCGAATTTATTTGTTTTCTTTATTCACCTCTAAATTAGTTAATAAGAATGATTTAATGTAATAAATTCAATTTCTACATAAATGGAGGTCCTTACACTTACCAATGCTGGATTAATGTTTCCGGTCGCAAGTGTTAAGGTTTTGCTACAAAAACACTTTTATTTAGGGGATTGCTACTTTTCTCACATTTTCAACATAATTACATATCTCAAACACTTACATTCTCTGTCAAACAAGTAAGAAATAAATGGTTGCGGAGATTGAAACTCAAGTTAGGTTAAGTTAGTAGCATGTGTACGAAATATCGACGGAAAATAGATAATCCTAAATAAAATAAATTTATCTAAATTGTAAAATAATAATCTAAATTATCTTTTTTAACTTTATAATCGCTGATACTACTACGAAACTCTGGCAAAGGGTTTTTTGATTTTTAATACTACCTAAAAGTAGAGAGCAATCTTATACACATTTAAATTTATATGATCAAAACTTTTTAATCACTGATCATTCTTATTTGTCTTATGGACAGTTACAGAGAAAATTTCAGCTTTTATAAAATAAAGAAATTCCGGATTTCGCTGATGTTTTCACGGTGGTAGGGCCACGCAGCAGCCTCGGCTGTTGCACGAATGGGCAGGCTCGTCCGGGTAGGTACTACGACCTCACAGAAGACCGGCGTAAAGTGCAAGTATAATACTTTCGCGTTTCGTCTGGTGAGTGAGGTGGCCGGAACCCAATTTTCAAAAGCTTGTCAACGCCTCTGGAACCCTCGGGTGTAGCAGATGTGTATGGGCGGCGGTATTCACTTTACATCAGGTGAACCGTCTGCTCGCTTAGCAACTTTGCACATAAAAAAAAAAGAAAAAAACTTATGGTTAAAACATATTTATACCATTGCGGAAAATCTCGACGACGCCAATGTGTGGAGTTAATACTGTTGATTCTCACGTAGGCTAGAATAAGACTATTATACCTGTATGTTATATTGTAAACTGATACTTTTGAAAAAGAGTAACTGTTGAGTTTCTTGCCGGTCTCTTCTCAACAGAAACTGCTTTCCGAACCGGTGGTACCTTACGAACCTATATATATAACTTTTTATGTAAAATTTGACTATTCATAAGAACGCGCAAGCGTCTATTTGAATATTTATGATTTGATTTGATAAGTTTTGTATTTTCATTACATTTGAAAATGTTTCGTCATAACGGATACTTTAAAATTCGCGTAACTATGGAATATGAGTTCCGTCGTGGCACCAACGTGGCACAAATGACACATAACATCAACAGCGTTTATAGAGAACTTTACAGAATGTACAACCTATTATTGATGTCCCCGGTTCCGGTCTGTAGTCAAGAATGACGAATTAAATGTGATCATAGAAGCTGATTATACTAAATCTACAGCCGAGCTAGCAGCAGCTGATGTTAGCATCAAAACAATATTGGTCAATTTATGAGAAATTGTCAAGGTAAAAAAGCTTGATAGATGGGTGCCCCATCATGAACTCATCGCCAGCGCAACGTACGCGTTGAGACCTACCTCGCGCTGCTCATAAAGCATAAAACTGAAAGAATTTTGAACCCAATTGTTACCTGCAACGAAAAATGGATGTTCGACAATCGAAAGCGCTTAGCATGTTTGTTAGATCCTGGTTCAGCACCAAAGCAATGCTAAACGAAAACTGATCTCTAGAAAGGTGCTGGTCACTGTTTGGTGGTCTAGTGCGGGTGTGATTCGATTCATCACAGATTTTTTAAAAAAACAGCATTAGCTTTCTTTATTACTGCAGATGTTTATTGTGAAGAACTGAAGACAATGATGGAGAAGCTGGCACATCTGCAACCAGCTTTGGTCTATCGCTCGTCCCCACTGCTCCTTCACGACAACGTGCGACCATACCGCACAACAGACAGTCTCCAAGCTGAAAGAGTTAGAGTTTGAACCTCTTCCTCATCCGTCATACTCACCAGACCTTGCACCCACCGACTATTACTTTTTAAAAAATTTGGGAAAATAATTCAATTCCGAAGGCAGTACAAAATGCCTTTGAAGAGTATTTTGCCTCCCGTCCAGCAAATTTTTAAAAGGCGTCAATAAACTGCATTTTGCATTTAAATTTTGTTAACACTAACACCTTAAAGGACGAAACAGGAAAAGTAGACATATTCAACGTACCCAAAAATATAAATTATATCTCGTCTTATCATGCTTAGTCTACAAAAATTATAAGAACATCACAAGTGATCTTTCTTAACTTTTGTGGACTATAAGGGTATAATTGAATTTTCGATAAAATAATGTTCAATAAAACCCCACAGTAAAACAATGGGCTCGATTCTCGCCGCTAGTACCTAAACCATATTTTAGTATATATGTAGTGATAATTAAATTGACAACAGTGAAAATCACTTCCTTTCTGCGACAGCTTATATATACATCGTGCATTTGTGACAGAATTAAACTTGTGCTAAATAGTTCTATTTTTTGAGAAGTGCGAAAACTAACCATGTGGCTGTTGAACTTTTGACAGTCATGTTCCTTATTATTAGGTAAAAATATATTTTGTTTGTAATTAGTAAGCTGAAGTAGCAATGGGCCGGCCATAAGCGGATAGCTCGTAGAACCGATAACCGATGAGAAAGAAAGATTCCCGAGGATAATTTATTGGTCATCGTATAGGGCGACCCCTCACTAAATAGAGTGACGACCTGTGAAAATGAGTCAGTCTCTGTAGGAAGGCTATGTCCATCAGTGGACTAGATCTCTATCGATGGATGCTCGATCAGGCTGAAGTGATGATAAAGATGATGAGGAGTATCTTTTAATAAATAAACTGGAACGAAACGTTGCTAATGATTCTTATAAATAATTTCAATTGTACGATACAACAATGTTTTAAATTGTTGTGTAATATTTTAAATTCGTTTTCCTTATAAATTAAACTGGAGTAGGTCCACGCAACATTCTTCTGTGATACGAATGGGCAGGTCCGTCCGGCACGAACTCACAGAAGACCAGTGTGAAGTATCTTGTATCTTGTATTAACTGATGTTTTTGCTTTCAGTCCCGAGACTATTAAAGCTTCATCGGACGCAGAACCGGTGGGCTAGCCAGAACCCACGGGTTTGGACCCTCCGCTATGGGTAGGGTCGCGCATGTGCTCATGCGTGCGTTTAACTACTATGGTGTGTCATCTAAGGGCCGTCGAGGTCGCGGTTCGGACCGAGACCCCGACGGCCGTCGCCTGTGCATTTAGCTAATCGGTGGCTGGGAGCGGTGAGAACCGCCCCGGAACGCGGGTGTACCTTGTGTACGCGTTGTGTGGGTCTCGCCGTGCTCGGAGGCGAGGGCGAACTGGTATGATTGTTGATACACTAACTGTAGGTGTAGTGTTATCCGGTGGGACCCCCGGCGGTGGGTCCATCGTATCTAAGTCCTCTTCGTCGACCGGGTCGATGAGGACGTTTCGCGGGCGACGCTTGTTTACGTTCGCGTTAGTGTCCGGTTGGTAGTTTGCTGCGCTTACCACCAGAGGGTTGGGATGATGTTGGGCTCTATCGAAGAACCGTTTTGTCAAATCTTTAAAATGTGCGCGAATCGTCGGGAGTCTGCAATCGCTGTGAAGGTCGACGTTGCGCTGATACCATTGCGCACCGGTTGCGCGGCGGATAAACTTACTTTGAACTACTTGCAATTTGTTAATGCGCGTAGGATTTATATGTGCGAAGATCATGCAAGCGTAGGACATGATTGGCCTAACGCAAGCTTTATATAAGAGTATTTTGTGCCTTAAATGCATTTTACTTTTCTTATTCGTTAAATTGTGTAGCCGGCCGGAGACGAACGCGGCTTTATTTCGGACTTGCTTGATGTGCGTAGTGAAAGTCATACGCGAGTCGAAAGTGACTCCTAAATATTTGACCGTTTTCTCCCAGGGGAGAGTTTGGCCATATAGTGATATTTGCCCCAACTTTCTGTACTGGCGAGGACCTTTGTAACGGTGTGGTGGATGGGGGTTGGGGGTGCTACGCGTGAAGTGAATCGCCACACTTTTTTCTGGGTTTATATCGATTCTCCATTTGCGGAACCAATCGCCGAGACGATCGGCGGCGCTTTGGAGTCGAGTCGTTAATTGACTGAGGTTACGATCTGAGCAAAAGAGCGCCGTGTCATCTGCGAAAAGCGCGAGATTGACGTGGGGGTCTCTAGGTATGTCGCTCGTGTAGAGCGTAAATAGTAAGGGTGAGAGGCAGGAGCCTTGTGGTGCGCCGGCCGTGAGGCGGCGGCTTGTGGAGAGGGTGCCCTCGACTTGATATCGAAAAGAGCGGTTCTACAAAAAGGCCCGGATGGTGTGTACGAGCCTATCTGGCACTTTGAGTGTGTACAGCTTGTAAAGCAAGCCGTTGTGCCAGACTTTGTCGAATGCTTTTGCGACATCGAAGAAGAGAGCCCCTGTACTAATGTGTTTGGGGTGGTTAAGGCTTTTTAGGATGTGCTCCGTTAGGCGGTATAACTGATCGTGACAAGAGTGTCTAGCTCGAAAGCCGAATTGTTCCGTCGGCAGAAGGCCGTTGGAAAATACGTGCTCTTTGAGCCTGTTTAACAAGAGCCGCTCGTAGAGCTTCCCCAGGCAACTGAGGAGGCTGATGGGACGATAGCTAGAGGGCTGATTGGCTGGTTTATTCGGCTTGCGAATGCCGATAACCGTGGCTTGCTTCCAGTCGTCCGGAAAGGAGCAACTGGAGAGAAGGGTATTGAAAATGGTCGC